CTCACTTTTTATACTTCACATACTTTTACATGTGCTTGAAAATTTCCAAAATAAAATGCTTTTTTAAAAAAAGCCATAGGGACTTCCCTGGCTGTTCCATGGGTAAAACTCCATGCTTCCAATGCAGAGGGTGAGGGTTTGATCCTTGGTCCAGGAACTAAGATCCCACGTGCCACATGGTGCAGCCAGTAAGCAAAAATTACTTTAAAAAAAAAAAAAAGGCCACAAAAAAGGAGAGAGAGAGAAAAAAATAAAACAAAGATACTCACCTAAAATACTGCAGAGCATAACAAGAAAAGAGATTCGGTTAAAAGTCTTTATTAAAACAATCAATTACTCTCTCCCTATGCTCCAAATTCCTTGAAATGATTATTTTTAAAAACAACTGAAGATTTACAACTGGTAAATCAGTTGTAATGGTATCAGGAAACTAGTGGTTTTGAGAAACTCTTAAGTTCCTCAAAGTGGTTCTCAAAATGCACCCCCACCCCAAAGCTCACCAGCACTACCTGAAACCTGCCGTAAGTGCAAATTCTCAGGCCACATCCCAACTCTTCTTAATTATAACCTTTGGGGGCAGAGCCCTGCAATCTGGTTTTAACAAGCCCCCCAAGTGATTCTGATGAACCAAGGTTTGAGAACCACTCTGAAGCTGACCAGGTTGACAAGAAACAAGAGGAAGGCCTCCGCCCAAACCAGCCCCGGAGACAACCACAGGAAAGGTAACGGTGAGTCCAGAGGTGCTCCAAGCCGAGCCAACAGATGACAGAAAGCCGGGGACTAGCTGCAATAGTTAAGTCCTAAACCTGCCCACCTCCAAAACCAAGCGGTTGGTGGGAGTGGTAGGTTAAGAGTACTGCCCTGGAAAAAAGCTCCATCCTCAGATTAAAACTCTTGGCATTTTGGCAAAGAGATGGGAGTGACGCCAAGAGCCTAGATTTTTTGCCCACTCCCCCTCTATTCTAAAAAAATCTGTGTGAACAAAGCTTCCTTTTCTCAGTCAAGGTAAACATCTTTTGGAGCAAAGAAGGCTTTATACAAATCTGGGAAAAATCCATGCCAACCCATTAATCAAGAGAATCTCTTTCATATGTAAAAGTGACTCTTTCAACAATTAGCAGTAAAGATAATTGTTCAGTAAACTGAACAAACAGAACAATTGAAAATCAAGGGGGAAGCAAATAATTCAAATAGAAAATAACATGAAAACTCTCACTGGTATCCTTAGAAATATAAGGGTATTACACCTATGAAAAAAGCAGTTAGAATAAGAAAGCAATCTTGAATATTTGAAAACAAATTATTAAATATTAAAAACTAAACAGAAAAGCTAAATGATTGTAGCATATCACAGCATATCATCAAGTAATTAAATATTGAATCCTCATTTCAATTCAAAAAAATGAATTGGGAATTCCCTGAAGAGGGAATTAGTGATTTGGAAGATAACATTTTGGTGCGGGGGGCGGGGAGGCTGTACCACACACAGCATGCAGGATCTTAATTTCCTGACTAGGGAATGAACCCTCGCCCCTGTGGTAGAAGCTCGGAGTCTTAACCACTGGACTACAAAGGAAGTCCTTGGAAGATAACATCTGGAGAAATCTTTCAGAATAGAGCAAAAAGATCAAGACAAATTATATAAGTCCAGTGAAAGGATCAGGTCACGAAGTTCCATATTCACTTGATAAGTCCAGAAAAACAAAAGAAAAAATGGAAAGAAAATAAATCATTTTAGAAATTGTCCTTAGTCCAAGAATGGTACAATTCTTCAGAGTGAAAGGACCATCAGGTAAGCAGAATGAATGACATATATCCCACATACCTAGACATTACTGATGAAATTTTAGGACTCCAAGCAAATAAGTTTTTGCCAATAAAGATAGAATTGGACTGCTGTCTGACTTTTAAGAAGCAATACTGGATACTAGCAATCATGTGTTCAATTTTGAACCTAATGCCCTAAACTCATTTTTTTTTAATTGAAATGAGGATTCAACATTTAATTACTTGATGATATGCTGCAATAAACCAAAAAAACTAACCCTGGGATAAAGGAAAAAGCAGTGAGAAGGAAACAGTGAACCAACAGTTTTCTAAGTAATGATGCATAATGTCAAGACACAAACACACACACACAAAGATAACAGAGATGAATCTAAAAAAACTCACATGATTGCACCAGGAGAAGAGGATCCAGGTAGGGAAGTGAAAGAATGCTAAGGTAACTGACTTAATTGGGAGGTGAGTGAAAAATATGGCTACTGATTAATAAGTAAAGAGAAAAAAAGTAACCCCTGACAAAACAGCAATATGTTGAATTAATTTCAAAGCACTAGGAGGAAAACAAGGAGAAAAAACAACAATCAATCAAGCCAATAAAATGGTGAAATAAAAACAAGCACAATATTCAGAAAATACAAAATACAATGGCAGGAACAGTCCAAACATTTCAATTGTTTCAATTAATATGAATGGATTAAATTTCCCAGAGACTCTTAGATTGAACTCCCCTAAACCTGTCTTGAAAATAGAAGCCCATGCAGAAAGTATTAAGGACAGAAAAGAATATCTCATACTTGTAAAAGGCACAACTCACCAACAGTCACATAATGCTTTCACATCTCTGAAATCAATTCATTAAATGGACATCAAGAATGTAGAACGTCTGATAATTAACAAGGTAAATTCAAAAAAGAATAGGCAAGGCACCCTTCTCCCCTCAAAACTCAGAATATTTACAAATATTGACCATGCATTCCATAAAGTAGAAACCATACAGGTTACACTCTACCTGCTTGGGAATTGTAAACATACTTAAGCAATTCCTGGGTTAAATATAAAGGGAACTGAATCTGAAATTACCCCCGAGAAATAAACAACAGTCACCACAGCTTAACACTGTTGGACACAGCCAGGGCAGTACACAGTGGGGCATTTTCAGGCTTTACTACATTTAACAGAAAACAAGAAAGACTGCAAACTTTGCACAATATACCTTAGAGCAGTGATTGTCAAAGCCCCTGGAGACATGATGGTTCTTTGAAAATACACTAGGAGTATGTGAATTCATTTACATATTTGAAACCTATGGAAATTGCATGCTAACTTGAGATAAAACTGCAGACTAGTCAAAATTTGAATATTAAATCAGTTTGTAATATTGGTTACTTCTCTGTCCTGTTGAGATGAACTGGGTTAAGAGTCACGTCTTTGAATGATGCAAGGTTTTATTCATTTTTCTTTTACTGCATTAAAGTATTATATGAACTGAATTAATGAGTGAACTAGCTGGTAATTTTCCAAAATATGGGGCTCTTTGGAGGGAGAGAGTAAAACAGAATCAAAAGGTCTGTATGGTTGCTGCCAGGTTGGGAAACACTGACCTCAATATGACTGTTGATCTCAGGTCTGTGATGTCAGAGTGTCGTGTACCAGATTCGGGTACGGGATCTTTCAGACGCAGAGGAGCAAGAGGGGCAGAGGGCTGCTATCAGCTCTCTTGCCCTACTTCTTGAAGTCAAGATTCATGGATTTCAATAATCATGATGTCAAGTAAAATTAATTTTCCAACTACAAGAGACTAAATTTTAAAAATCTAGCTCCTTTGACTGAATGTCAAGATAGGAGCTCTAAGGAATGCACTTGAGTCAGCTCTGATGAGATGGATGAACCTAATACAGAGTGAAATAAGTCAGAAAGAGAAAAACAAATATCATATATTAACACATATATATGGAATCTAGAGGCAGTACTGACGAACCTATCTGCAGGCCAGCAGTGGAGACACAGACATAGAGAACAAACATGGACACGGCTGGCAGAGGAGGGAGGAGAGGGTGGGACGGACGGGGAGCGGCATGGAAACATACCCACTACCACATGGAAAAGAGTCAACGGGAATGTGTTGTATGACTCAGGAAACCCAAACCCGGGCTCTGTAACAACTCAGAGGAGTGCGATGGGGTGGGAGCAGGGAGGGAGGCTTAGGAAAGAAGGGACATATGTATACCTGTGGCTAATTCATGTTGATAATATGGCAGAAACCAACACAATACTGTGAAGGAATTATTCTTCAATTAAAAATAAATACATTAAAAAAAAGAGTAGAGCTCTAGCACTAGCTAGCACAAATGACTAGAACATAAAAGACCAGAACCTCCGGCATTATAGAAGATAAAAAGACCTTAGTAGCTGTTATTTATTTAAAACATATTTTAAAGGTTCAATTACTACCTTTATAAGCAAATTTTAATTGTTTAAAACTCATGTAATATTTCACAAATTACTATTTATACCATAAAAAATTAACTTAACCTCATCAAGTACTATACTTTACATACTTTTTCACAGGAAAAAATTTTTTAAATGTCCAATTCTGAACCATACCAAAAAGAAGCACTTCTACTGAATTGGAACATAAACAGAAGCCATATATCTATAATATTTCAAATGATAAATACCTGAGCTGCCAATAGGTGAATGTCAACATGTCTTTTGAAATAAACAGCAGAAATCTAAATTTCAAGATGTTCTCATTGTTTTAATTTGCTCTGGTTTATTTTAAAATACCCTCCCTTTGCAGGGGTTAAAGAGACTCTTCCTCTCTCATTTATTAAAAACAAAATGACTATTTCTCTCCCCAACCTACAGCTCTCCTCAGCTGAATTAAAAAAATTTTAAGGTTTTTCCCTTACCACTAAACCAGCATCTTCAATTCTTATCTGGCCCAAGAGTAGACTTCCTTATACAACAGCAATAAATACAAAGTCGAATTCTGCTAGCAAATATTACATTTGATCCCAACAATACAGACAGTCTTAAAAATCAATTAGGTATTTATTTGTATAGCATCAAAGACTTGAAAATCCTATATAATAGCCCATGAGGCTTACAAATTTAATTACTAATCCAGTTGAAAAAAGAAGAATTTTCACCCACAAACTTGAGGTTTTTACTATTTTACATGCTTCAGACATGTGTGCTAAAACACCAGATACCTATTCATCTTTAGTTTTCACAGTAGTAGTATTAAGTCCAAAAAAGTCTTTTTTGATGATGTACCGAACACACTGCAAAATCACATTTCTTTCATGTCGAATGTCCGGAGCTAACAGCTAAAAAATAATAAATAAAAAGATTAGCTTTTAAACAAAATACATCCAAGAAGTACCATCTAAGATATTCTATGTGCCTTCTCTATATGAAGAACACAGAATAATAAAGATTTGTATTATATTTACTAATTATTTCACTAAAAAACAATGCAAGAATATCTCCTTTTAACCAAAACTATCGAGATTTAAACACTAGTATTCAAGGTCCTCTCCAGGAGTATCAAGGAAGGGACGGGAAAATTAGGTTCAGAAGTTTACAATTTTTTACATCTAAAAACCACGTTAAACAGAATTCTCCCAAACTGAAATCGATAAACAATATAAAAACTGGTATGGAGCTACAGTAAATATAGTAATAAACTAGCAGTAAATAATCCCAACATTCCTGGTCTTTCATAATTTCCCACTTTTGTGCTTACTGTAACTGAAAGAAAGCTGAAAATCCCTGCTATCTAGAATACATAACCAAGGAATCACATGTGATTTGCCAAGAAGAAGAATGTAACTACTACTCATTTTATTTCTGATGTCAATGTAGTTCAGAAACACCCACACATGAACTTTCAGAAGGAAAACATTTTAAAAATGAAGTTTCCAAAGAAAACATTTTAAGAACGAAGTTTCCTTTACACAGCACCAAAATTTACCAGAGTACATTTCCGATCAATTTTATTAAGCAGCAACTGTGTCCGCATGTAACATGCCATAGTCTGTAGCGACAGAACACTTGAGCCGCAGCACAAGCAATTCTCTAACCAGGCAAAAATCAGACTCTGCACAGAACGTCACCAGGTAGTGATTCCACAATTCCACTAAACATTTCAGAGTATCTCTATCACTCGTAGATATGAAAGTCTTAGATCTCTGAACAGCTTCATGTCCATTACTTAGAATCAAAAGAGGCATTGTTTCTTTATAATTTAAAGAAAAATCATAAGCTTTTGAGCACATCACACTGAGAATAAAGTCAACAATGCACAAAATAAACACACAAAAACCTTTTTCTCCCTTTAGCCTGCACTGTATTTAGTTGTGCTTTCAAGGAAAATTTTTCAAAGGTCAATACACTTTGATACTTTACCAACTACCTAGCCTAGGTTCTTTTATTTTAAGCAGTTTTGAAAATTGTTAATTATCCCACACTTACTGAGTATCATCTATATTCCCAAGGCAGTTTCAGAATGAAGATACACAGATGACTCTTCAAGGAGCATGTGTCTCTGGCAACCTTAAAACATACACGGACGGACACACACGTACACACATGCCCAGCAGCTCTATTCTCAGGACATGAAAACACAAAGACCGCTTACCATTTCCAGGAGATACGGATGGTGTGTTCTTGGTTCAAATAATGTTCGGTAGTTGAGATCCTTTTTTTTCCTCTTATTTGTGTTTTTAAAGCTTCTCCTTCGGCTCTCACACTTGGCTTCTGAGGACTTTTTAACAGCTGCGTTAGCATCTTGACTTGGTTTCTCAGGAGCACTGCTGTGAAGAACCTGGTCTTCTGCCAGAATGTCTGCTTCAGTCTTGATGGGAGCTTCTACACATGATGAAAAATAAACACGAAAATAACAAAGTAAAACACAGGTAAAACTTCCAAAAATAACCAATAAAAACACCCCCCACAATAATCTCCTTCCCCAGCCCTAACAGTTACTTAATTAAAACTGAGCATGTACAGTCTATTACAGAATTTTTCGAACTGGGAACTGTAACTGCCAATAACTGAGATTACTGCAAAGAGCTATGGAAAATGATCCCCATGAAAGAAGTAATACCAGATGGAAACTTGGATCTACACAAAGGAATGAAGAGTGCCAAAGACAGTCAATATGTGGATAAATACAAAAGACCTTTTTCATTTGAAAAAATTTTGTAAAGATAATTGACAATTGAAAGCAAAAATGCATAACAATGTATGTGGGGATTATTAGCATCCACAGAACTAAAACAAGAATAGCAGAAAGGAAAGGAAGGGGAAAATCTAAGCCATATATGGCTGTAAAATTCTTAAATTACAGGAACACCTCGTACTGTGCTTTGATTTAATGGTCTTCAGAGACACAGCATTTTGTACAAATGGAAGGTTTGTGGCAACAATGACCAAGTCTGTTAGCACCATTTTTCCAACACTGTTGGTTCACTTCTTGTCTCTGCATCACATTCTGATGACTTTTGCTCAATGTCTCAGACTTTCACTGCTATTGTATGTTACGATCATGTGTAATCTTTGATACTACTATTATAACTGTGTTGGGTCACCATGAACCATGTCATTATATGAGACAACCAATTAACAATGTTATGTTCTGACTGCTCCACCTTCCTGCCATTCTCCTCTCTCTCTCTCCTTCTCCTCAGGCCTCCCTATTCCCTGAGACATCATACTGAAATTAGTATATGGTTAATAACCATACTAATGGTTAATAACCATACTAATGGTTAATAACCACAGGCTTCCTCAGTGGGTCAGCTGTAAAGAACCCACCTGAAATGCAGGAGCTCCAGGAGACTCGGGTTCGACCCCTGGGTCGGGAAGATCCCCTTGAGTAGCAAATGGCAGCCCACACAATTTTCTTGCCTATGAAATCCTATGGAGAGAGAAGCCTAGCGGGCTATAGTCCATGGGGTCCCAAAGTAGGGCATGACTTAGCGACTAAAACAAAAACAACAGAGATGCTATTTCATGGTTCAGAGAAGGCTCACTTTATTTCCTTGTTTTATGTATTGCAAAGTCCTGCTGTGTCAATATCCTGTCCCATCCTATAGCCCAGTAACACTGCAAGTTAGAAATCTGCCAGTGACCTGGATGGCTTAATAAAAGTGAATTCAAATGACATAAAATAATTCTTAAGGCTTAGGAATGTGAAACAAGGAATTTTCCCTGAAGGCAGGACGTTTCAGACAACCAGTCAGACTGAATTCATACAAAGGCAAAAGAAGAGCTATGCACCACCTACTGCCACACAAAGAAAGATGTAATGGAAGGCAATATAGTTGGCTTCTTTAGACCGAAGCTTTACGTCAGCTTTGCCACATACTAGTTTTGCCAATGTGTCCTCTTGAAGCTTCAGTGTCTATAAAATAAAGGGCTGAAACCTTGATCCCTTCCAGTTTCCTCTCTGCCTTCTCTAAGTGGCAGCCTCAAAAGGAAGACATGAGTATAAAACTATTAAATATCTTATCTTAGGAATGAGAGAGGAAAGCATTTGTAGAGCTGTTTTTATGGGATTCAGTAATCTGGTAACAGCTTTCTTTGCTATCACCTGTCATAAATACACAAGATAAGCAGGAAACGTAATATGTGTTTAAAGAATAACTTCATCTTCATATCAGTGTACTGGAAACAAGAGTAAGGAACTAAATACTATTTTTCTTAAAATTAAAAAAAAAAAAAAGAAGAAGAGGCAACCATCTGTAAAGGACTCCTCTGATAAAGCCAAAGTAGATTATATTTCAAAATTCAAGTAGCCTTTAACCAGTTACCATAGTAAAGCTTGGCCTTTCAAAAAGAGGGGAAAAAAAACTCCTATGTTATAGATACCCAGATCTAAACCTTACCTTTCATATTAAAGCCCAACTCTTCCTTCTTCAGCATCTTCCAACTAATAAACATTGACTTTCTCTAGCTTAGTCAACATTAAATTCCTGCCATCTTCATCAAATTACATTTAAATCTCCCTTTCATCCTACATTTTCACTTTGAAGACCCTCTATTCCTGTCTTCAGTAGAGGCCCTACCATGATACACTCAGAATTCTCTTGTGGCTGGTGAAGCACAGATATAATGATCAGAGCTGCAACAGGACATGGTTATTCACTAAACAAACGCAGGGTTACTGACGTGAACCTTGGCTTGAGTTGCCCATACTGCCAAGCCCATTCGTAGCCCTTTTAGGAGGCCCTAAAAGAGATGCTAGATATTGAGTTGGTTTATCACCATTGCTTTTTTGGCCGGGAGGGGGAATTTGTCATCATCTTTTAATATTAAAACATGTATCCTGAATAACATTAACTTCTCAGAACCAGTATCAAAAGGATTCCATGTCTCCCAACCTTAAAAATACAAAGGCTAATGCAACACAAGCATATATGATCCCTGTGTTCTCCGAATGAGGCAGTTTAGGTAAATGTGCTCTATAAGGAGCAATGCCCTATATACAGGTAAGGAATTGTACCATCCTCTTTGTCATAAAGGACCTTTCAGCAGCTTAAAAAGGTGCAAAACATGTTAAGACAAGGATTCTTGAGAGTGGGAGGAAGTAACTAACTTCCTTCGCTTTATCTGTTAGAATTTTCTCTGATTCATTAGTGGATATTCTCTCTTCCCTCCCTCTTCTCTCATTATATTGTTTTTGCCCCTCTCTCCTAGAGGAGCAACACAGTTCTCCATCTCTCCCACTTACCTCCCTCCCATGCTAACTCCTGAATCAAATGAGAAAGGAATTTGAGGCTCAACTAAAGAACGTGCACGACACATCTCGTCCTCAGATACACACACGTGAAAAGATGCTACTGGCGCACAGTGGACACCAAAGGCAACAACGAAACGACACACACCCAACTGTCGGCGCCTGAAGCCAAGGCTTACCTTCTGGCTCACTCTCTGACCCCGAGAGGCTGCCATAGCTGCTCATCAGGGAGCACAGCGCTGGGGTCACCTCCTTGGGTATGACAGCGCTCTGTGGTCTCTCCTCTTTGTCAGATTCTGGAACAGGGAGCACCGAGAATGAAACTGTGTATCAAAAATACCTACCCGCATAAACAAGAAAGATGACATCCCCCCACTCCCCGCATAAACAAGAAACCTAACAGCCCCCCACTCCCTCATGTGCTAGTGAAAAGAAAGCCCTTTCTGATCACTTCCTCAATCTTCCTGAAAAAGAAATCCAAGAGACTTGAAAACTTTCCCCTTGGTTTAAAACTTTACAGTCAGAGAAGCTACCTGCCTCAAAGAGAAAACAGAGAGGCAAATGGAGCTGTATGCAACTCAGGTCTCTTACCAAGCTCACTGGTATGGAACCTAGGTCTTCTCTAAGTGAATTAGACAGTCTTTGTCATTAATTACTTTATTTTATGCTGTTAATTAATTTTATTACAGTACCAGGAAGGCCATAAATGTATTTAACATCACTGGACTAGGATCATGGACTCTGAAAATCAGGTTTGGAGTAAATAAAATATAAATGGCCACTGTTTTTAAGACTGGTTTAGAGGGTACAAGTAGTATTTCAACCTTTCTACAGTTAAAGGCACTTCACTGAACCTGGCCTGAATTTTTATTATTTAGAATTTCTAAGAACTTAAGTAAACAAGCCAAGTATGAGAATTTAGCGAGTACTAAGAGACTGCCAAAGGTAAAGTGTTTGATCAGAGCCCAGCAAGTTTAGTTGTAGCCCCAGGACACCACCTATTGCATTTATTTTTGGCAGCTCTGAAAGTGTATTACATTTATTCTGAACAAGTCAGTAGTGCCTGACGGAAGAATGAAGACAATAACTTGCCTGTGTAATGAACCAGCTCAACCCACAACCAATATGAAATGTTTCAAGACAGTACTGAACATTCACCAAGTCAGTCTAAGGGAAACCAAAGCATGCCAGTAGGAAAAAGGAGTGTAATTTTATGTGAGCATGGAACAACCACCTTCTGGCAGATGAAGTTAAATCTTCTGTCTCCACCATCCACCCTGCCCAGTACCACTCCAAAAACTGCTCCTTGTCCATTTTGGGCTAACTTCTTATCTTTTCTCCTGAATTAATAAAGGGGACTTGAAAATATGCAGTTTTATTTATAAATTACTACTGGATAAAACAGAATCTGCAACAATATTAGTGTGGAGACTGTTCATCTCATTGTTTAAATGATATGCCAAAATGTAGACACACCAGAAAGTACAATACAGATGACTATATAATGCTCTTTATTTCTTTTCCTTAATATTTTATTTTTATTTTTATTAGTTGGAGGCTAATTACTTTACAATATTGTAGTGGTTTAGTCATACATTGACATGAATTAGCCATGATATAATGCTCTTTAAAAGCATGAGCACATTTAACCCTTTTGAAGTATCACCTTCACTATTAATTAAAGGTGATAAAACCAAAATTCAAGAGAATCTGAACTGGATGATCCCTTAGGTAACACAACTATACAACAGCTGGGTCAAATTTAAATGCTGGCTACCTGACCCTAAATCCCAAGTATTAAGTAGTGGGCTAGAATATCTCCTACAGATACATAAAGTCTTCTGATAATTAAGTCACCCTACCAAACCCTCCCTATGATCAAGAATAACACTAAGAAATGTCTTTCAGCTACAGCCCATTTCTCTGCTCCCTTTCACAGCAAAACCCCAATTACTTATATAACTCACCAGGGATGTCCCCTGGGCCTGAAATTTCCTACAACTATCTGACCCTCTAGAATCTACTTCAATGTGTCTTTCAGGCCCACCACACCAGCGAACTTTTTCTTCCAAGTTCACCGGATTCTTCTGTGTTGCCAAGTCTAGAGGTCACCTGTCGGTGTTCATCTTATCTAACCTAGTGACAACATCTGACGGTACCATTGACCTTTAAACACACAGGCCTGAAGTTCACAGGTCCACTTACACACGAGTACTTTTCAATACTAAATACTACTGAAACCAACCTGAGATTAGCTGAATCCATGGATTCAGGGCGGTGGATGCAGAGCCACATTACACGAAAGGCAAACTACGAGTTAGACTGTGCAAGCACGTGGAGGGCTGACGCTCCTAACCTCTGCAATTGTTCAAGGTCAACAGGAGACCTTCACGTGACTTCCAGAACCCTTTCACTTGGCTCTCCTTTCCCAGTCTCCCTACTAATTTCTCCTCATTGACCAACTTCAAAACTCTTGAGTGTCCCTGGGTCCAGTCCTCAGCAACATTTCCCTCTGTGCCTCTTTCTTCTCTTATGATCTTACTGTACCTCAAATCTTAAAGTATTAGAGGCCAATAAATCACAACTGTATACCTTGTTTTCCCCTAAACCCCAGAATAAACTATTGTTCAACATCTCCACTCAGATATCAAACCAGCATCTGAAAGGTTAGCATGCCCCAAAACAAAAAACACTTGATTTCTCCTCCAAACATGCCTGACAGTTAGCCTCCATCTCAGTAAATGCCAGCTCTTTTCAATGGTTATACCAAAACCTAGCAATCATCCTGACTCTTCTCTTTCTCACACACCATATCCAAACTGGCAACAAATACTGCCAGCTCTGTTTTGAACATATATACAGAATCATACTCATTACTTCACTTCTACAACTGCAGTCCAAGTCAACATGTCTTACCCAGACAGTTCTAGCATCCTCCTAAAAGAACAGCCTGATATGATCTGCCCACCTCTGCAGTCCATTCGCCACTTTAACACATCACACCACCTCTCTGCTCAACCTCAGAGTCAAGTCCCAAGTCCCTTCCTGCCTTAGACAAGACCCTGTTTGAGCTGGTCCTTCACCACTTTCTTCCTAGCTTACTCCACCCCAACCCTGTTCTTCCCCAGGTACACCAGCAAGCTCCCCCCATGGCGTGTTTGCATGCGTTGCTTTCTTTGCTTGCAAAACCCTCACGTCTCAGCCCCTAATTTCACTCAGATTTCTTAGTAACCCTTTATCAGACATGCCTTCGCTAATTATATTAAATAGCACACTCCTTTCTCCAACTGCCATTCTCAGTCCTTTTCCTTGACTTTACTCATCCTCATGAAGGATATCAACCCATATTTATTTACTGTAGCTTCCCCAAGCAGAACATAAGGTTCAGGAGAGAAGGGGTTTGGCTTTGTTCAGTATACTGTATCCTCTGAGCTTAGAACAGTACATAAATGCTCAACAAATATTTGAAGAACAAACTGTTGCATGAATGAGTTAAATAAGGACAAGTTCAAAACGGGTAACTAGAACAGAATGACTGAACTATGCCGAGGTGGGGCCGTAACAGAAACCTGGCTTCATCTGGATTCAGAGACTATTTCTTTTTTTCAAAAAAAATGATTCTATTTTTCTTAAAAAATCACATATATGTAGCTTAAGAAAATTACTGAGGGATATAAAACATGAGCAGTGGCTGTCTCCATAAGTTAAGGAAGTATATTGCTTTTTATTTTATGCTTTTCCGGTTTTTTCCCCCTATTTTTTGCATCATTTTTATAATCAAGAAATGAATTATAAAGAAAACACAGGAAAATGAAACCTGGAGGCAAGTATTTCCTCACAATTCAAGAAGCGGACTGCATAGCTTTAATTGGCCTACATATCAACCCTTCTTCCTGCCTTCTTTTTTTCCTAGACTTTATATTTTGAATCATTTTAGATTTACACAAGCGTTGCAAAGCTAGTGCCAAGATTTTCCATAAACCCTTCACCTAGCTTCCCCTAATGCTAACATCTTACATAACTACAGTGCATTTACCATAGCTAGCAAATGAACACTGGGAGAGAACCACCAGCTAAGCTACAGGCCGCGCTGTAACTTCACCAGTCCCCACTGCCGTCCCTCCTCCGCTCGAGGAGTCCCTCCTCCGCAGCGCAGCGCGTCAGCCTCCGGGCGCCTCATCTGCGCCCTCTCTCAGCCCACGACAAGCTTCAGGATTTCCCTGCCTTTCACCAACTTGACTGCAGAAGATCCCTCAGCCGGGTCTGACGCTTTCTGGCGGTCAGACCGAGGCTGTGGATCTTAGGCAGTGTCCTTCTCATCGTGTACCGGGGGGACACATCAACCCGACTTATTACTGGGAGTCAGCCGTGACCACCTGCTGGGCTCCACCATAAAGTTACTGCTCTTCTCTTCCCTAATTCTAGTTCTAGAAACAAGTCACTGAGTCCAGCCCACATTCAAGGGGAAGGAAAGTAAGCTCTATCTCTTGGAATGAGGAATAGCAAAGAATTCTAGACGGATGTTAAAACCACAACCTGGGTGGCTGGTGTACTCATTACTAGGAGTGCCCTACAGCTCACTATACATAACTGCCTTCCTAAGGTAAGAGCTAGGAGTTCACACAAATTAACAGCTCTCTTCTTATTTCATTACCTTCAGGTATGTTCTGGGGACACACCACATATGACTCTGGCTCATGTGAAGGAAGCGTCTCTAAACAAGGTAAAACTGATTAACTGGAGTTGAGATGCTGAGAATATTTAGGGTATGTGAAAAAAAAGGGTACATGTGGTTTCCTGGAGCTATACTTGGGAGTGGAAAGTTGAAAAACCAATGCTCTAAAACATAGATTTGTAAAGTGTAAAAGTCCAGAAGAAATCCCAAGTAAAGGCTAACAGGAATTTAAATGGAACCCTTCCTACAAAATCAAGCAACCATAATTTGATTGTTGGAATTCAGATTTCCTCTGATTTTCCTCAAACATCACTAATATATAGCTTACTTTTAGGATTTTTGTATTCAAGCCTTACATGTTCATCTCTGACCTTCACAAAAGTAAGGGTTTCAACATTAAGCCACAACAAAATGACTTGATATCTCTCATTCAACTGCTCCTAGGAACCTGACTGAATGTTTTCTATTATGAGGATGAAAGGTATTTAACTACTGTTTCTCAAGTCTAAAGTGTTCTCTTGAAGATCTAGACACAGGCTTAAATACAGGCAAGATACAGTCATCTTTTTATTAGTGCTTCACTGGACTAGCACACACTGAAACACTTCTTTAAAAAATGGGAAAACAGAATTACCCAACCAGAGCCAACAATATGAAGGCAAAGACTATTCAACACTACAGAACCCTTCAAATGTTCATTTAGAAAGTTGCATAAAGCAAAGAACTACGTAATTTTCAAGTTAGTTAATGTTTGTAACAGTAGTCTTCATATTTGTGTTTCAAGTATTTTAATGACGTGGAAGTTTCTGTTTAGGCACAGATTGTATTTCATCATCAAGGTCACGAGCTGTAAGCTTGAATAAGTATGTGGGCACTCTCCAACATTTTTTGAAGGGAAAAAAAACACAAATCACTGCCCAAGAGTAAACTGAGCCCTGGTCCCGAATGTTTCCTGCCCTCTCCTCGCTATTAGCAAGGATAAGAAGATGTTTTTTAAAACTCTCTTCCACATCTCAACTATCCTAGACCCATACAACATAGATTTGCTTTTTTGGGCCAGATTCAGATTTCACATTTGAAGGTAGTGCAGTGTACTAGAAGTAAGACTCCTAACTCTGACTGTGTCACTAACTAGCAGCATGACTAAGGTAAATGACTCAAGTTCCTTGGTTCAAAAACGGAAGCAGCAACTGCACGTACGTGAAGACTGTTATGAAGCAAAGAGCTACTATACACAAAGCACTTAGAGCAAAGTTAAGTACCTTACTTAATAAGTGTTAGTTGGTGTTAAAATATTTATTACTACTATTCCTACGGTATTTTATCTCATCATTCTTAGCCTAACATTTCCTTATGCCAAGATCTTTTTCCATCCTGATTTAGTCAATGAAGCAGTCCCCCCTCCATTTCTTCCCATCCTTTAAGTTCAATGATCAGCTGTGTGATTATCGTAGAAGCCACTTCCCCCAAGCTGAGCAGGGCCTGCTGGCAAACCTACAACAATCCCTCATCAGTCCACTCACTGGAAACACACCTTTGCAGAAGAATAAGCACTAGGAACTAGATAAAGCCTCACACCTTGTTACTGGAAGGAAAGATGGTAAAACATTTACATTGATGTTTTCATTTTTCAGAAGAGAAATGAAGCCTTAGAGGCTGAATAATATCTTTCTGTGACAGCAACATTTCTGTCCTTTAATTTTTCAACTTGTAAGCAACAGTAAACTTATCTCCCAAATTCTAGAGTGAACACAAGAATAAATAATAAACATATAAATATATTCTATGCTGTGAGGAAGAACCGTATTATTTAATATACTGAATTAATGTTATTTATCCAAAGAGACCAGTTTCATGCTGAGCAGCATAAATACTGGCTTCCCTTGGAATACTGCTTTCTAGGTGGGAAAACTCATCTAATGGTGTAAATCTGAATTCACAGCATCAATACATTCAAAACAGTCAAGATATTTTCAAAGATTATATGATACTATGCAAATTACCCAATAAATATAACCTTTCTCCCACATTCTGCGTGCTTCATGCATTCGTTCCCAAGATTCATAAAAAGTTTCTCAAAGTGACGTTTTAAATAAGACACTGCTATTAGGAACAAAAGCATCATTCTACTTTTTTACATTTTTACCATTAAACTCTCCATAAACAAGGATGTGAAGAATGAACTTCTGCATCATTGTCTAAACACAGTGTTTTCCTATTTAGCTTACCAGAATCAGTGTTTACCAAAACACCGAGGGGGTCTGAATTTGCCTCAGGTGGACTTTCAGGCTTCAAATCACACAAATGATTGCCTGACCCAGCAGCTGTTCTCTGTTCAGAATGGCCATTTTTCCATTTGTGATGTTTGCCAGGACTTTGGATTTTTGCCATCTGCGAATGTCTGGTCATCCCCTTCATCTTGCTGCAATAAGAAAAATGCAATTCTTAATATAAAAGGCACTGACCTTTCAAGAAAAATTTGAAAAAGATTACTAAATGCAAAAGAAACTTAGCTGTCAAATCAATTACTTGTCACCTACTACACTAAAGAGATCAGAAAAAAATAAACTCAATGACTTCCAAAGACAAACCGTTAAATGAAAACACACAATATATCATACTTGATCAATTCCAAATTGCCCATTTCCTTCCATAATTTAATCCCTCTAAATTGGGCTATGTTGTACAATCAACAGCAAGTGAGTTTAACTGGCAACATTCTTTCATTCCTATTACACACAAAATAAAATGGTCCTCAGGGCTTCCGAGGTGGCCCAAGTGGTAAAGAACCCGCCTGTCAGTGCAGGTGTGGGTTCCAACCCTGGATCTGGAAGATCCCCTGGAGGAGGACAGGGCAACCCACTCCAGTGTTCTTGTCTGGAGAATTCCATGGACAGAGGAGCCTGGCAGGCTACAGTCCACAAGGTTGCAATGAGTTGGACAAGACTGAAGCGACATAGCACACAAAATATTCCTTAGACTTTACAAAGTGTGTTAACTCTTTATCTACTTAATTTTAAGGAGCCTTAAAGTTTCTGACGATTTTACAAACATGCTACCTTGTTTCTTGTTTGAGCTTCATGATAACACCTTGAAACTGATTAGACAGGTACTGAGTTGGCCAAAGGGTTCTGGTTTTTCTAGAACCTTTTTCAGAATCTTACGGAAAAACCCAAACAAACATTTTGGTCAACTCAATTATTATTCCTTTCATGTTACAGGGGGATAAACTTAAAGATCATAGACCAAGCACAATTTCACAGCTAGCTCAAATCAAGTGCCCTCTCAAACCACCTTAATTACTTAAGAGGAAAACAAATAATTATGTGAGCACATGCTTATGGAAACTATGCACAGAAAAAAAAAAAGACCTTTTGAAAAAAGGTTCATTACATATACTCTCAATGGACAGTAATACAAGGTAAGAAAATAATACTAAGGCATATAATAATAAGCTTAAAGCTAGTGATGAAAAGAAAATCTTAAAAGCAACCAGAGATAAAAGGTATTTTACAGAGAGGAACAAGGTAATGGTAACAGCAGGTTTCTCTTGGAAACCATGCAAATAAGAAAACAGTGGGGCGACATCTTTAAAGTACTGTAAATATCAAAAACACCACTAACCTAGAACTGCGTATCTAGCAAAATTATGTGGACTGTAGCCCACCAGGCTCCTCTGTCCATGGGATTCTCCAGGCAGGAATACTGGAGTGGGTTGCCTTTTCCCTCTCCATCAAATAGGAAGGTAAAATAAAGATCTCTTCAGACATACAAAGCTGAAAGAAGTCATCTTCAGCACACCCTCACTATAAGAAATGTTAAAGGAAGTCTTTTAGGCAAAAGAAAAATAGTATCAGATGGAAAGATGATCTACACTCAAGAATGAAGGCTACGAGAAATGGCTAACCACATAGGCACCCTAGCCATCAGCTAACCAACCCCTGGCTGTGACTCTGTCAAGATCAGCAGATAACCCCCAACTGACCCCAGATACGTGTGCCATTGAGACTAACATATGAGAGGGGGAAAAAAATGCAGAACAAGACACCTACTAAGAGTAAAAAGGCAAGCCACAAGTTGCAAGACTGTATCTGCACCACCTACACTCTATACAAAAAATGACCTGTATCTAAGTAAGTAACACCTACAAATCAAGAAAACAACTCTATTAAAAAAGAGTCAAAGACTTGAACTGGCACTTCACAAGAGAACATTAAAATGACCAGTAAGCATGTAAAAAGATGCCCAACATCATTAGTCATGAGGGAAATGGCATGACATGAGGAAAGGTATAAAGTATGACAATGCCACATATTGAACAGGACACAGAGAAATGAGATGCAGAGTCAGTAGGCATATAAATCAGTACAACCATTTCAGAAAACTATTTGCCTGTAGCTATCATAACTAAACACACAGTAAGCAAGTACTTATGTCAACAAAAGACACTTAGAAGAATGTTCACAGCAGTTTTAGTCACAACAGCCCAAAGGGGAGACAACCCAAACGTCCAACAGCAGAATGAATGTATTGGCATGGCCAAAAAGTTTGCTCCATTGTTTCCATACCACCTTACAGAAAAACCAGAATGAACTTTTTGGCCAACCCAGATATATTCTCACACCTGAGTTCTATACAGCAGTTAAGAACGGATTTACAGCTATATATGACAATATGGATGAACAGCACAAAATAATTTTGAGCCACAGAAACTATACCAAAGAAGATATACTATGTGATTCCACTTATACAAGGGTCCGCTTCCCTGTGGCTCAACTGCTAAAGAATCCACCTGCAATGCAGGAGACCTGGGTTCAATCTCTGGGTTGGGAAGATCCCCTGGAGAAGGAATAGGCTACCCACTCCAGTATTCTGGCCTGGAGAATTCCACAGACTGTATAGTCAATGGGGTCGCAGAGTTGGACACAACTGAGCGAATTCCACTTCCACTTTCATACAAAGTCCCAAGAACAGGTAAAATAAATCTATGATGATAGAACTCAAAAGAGGTTACCTTTGTGGGGAGGCATGGAACTAGGTAGGAAGGTCTAAGAGAGAAAAGCTCTGTGAGGTAAATACATTCTATATATTATTAATCTACGTGGAAGTTACACGGGTATGTAGGTATGTGTGCATGGACAAATTCATCGAGTTGTGCACAATACAAAATACAATGGGAAAGTTCTGTGAAGGCGAGGTACTGGCGAAATGGGACGTCTCATACACTGCTGCTGGGAGAGTAAACTGGGATAGCTTCTATGACAGATATTTGGCAGTTAGCTATCAATATTATGAATATATGTCTTTGACTCAGCAAATCCACCTCTAGGAACCCACCTTCAGAAATATCTGCACCTGTAAAATTTATGTACAGGGCAATAGAGGCAACTTTTTATTAGTAAAAGATTGAAAATTGAATGTCTGTCAATAGAGAATTGGTTTAAGGAAAAAAAAGACGACCTTGTCAGGATATTCCTACACACCCTCAGACAATGAGGAGTCTTGCTTATATATTAATACAGGACAATTTATTATTTGGCTAAAAAAAGCAAGATGGAGGACTATATCGAAAAAGGAAAAAAACAAAAAAGACTATTATCTATGTGATGTATACAAATAAGATATCTCTAGAAGGACAAAACAGGTTGCCTCTGGGAAGGAGAACTGTTTAGCCAGGGGACAAAGACAGAAAAGACCTGTAAATATAAATCATTTTGAAAACCATGTGAGTATAGGGTATTATTATACTCATACTATACTTATGAGTACAGGTATATTATTTTAAAATATAATTTTAAAAATTCAGCAAAAAAGTTACAAAAGCAAAAATTTCAGAATTGAAAATATAGAATTTTTAGGATTTGGGTGTGTCCTCTTTTTATTATTTGTAAGAATGTACATTCATTTAAAATGAGCATTGAGAGTGCAAGCAATTTTCAGGAACTTACCCATACTGTGTCGTCGTCAACACCGCTCCTCTCTTTTCCTTTTCAAGTTTTAACTTTTTCTTCCTTTCAATATTAGCTAGTGTTGGGTAGTTTCTAGAAAACATAAGAATCCATTATAAAAGGGCTTTTAGAGTACAGTTTTAATTATGCAGTCAAGCAATTGCTGCATTTAACAGTTTTGGTTTAACTAAAAATGAGTGACACAGTAAATTGATATAAACTTTTAATTCCTTCTAGATTTTTTTAAGGGTAACAAAAGTAGACTACAACGATGCTACTCCAGATTTTTTCAGGGTAAAAAAAGTAGGTCTACAATGATGTAGACCAGTGGCCAGTCCACAAACTCTGCTACCAGGTAAGGAACTTACAGTAGAATGCAAGTCAAATATATAATGTGATGAAATGGATGTAATTCATATGTTTGGCACATATCCATAAACGCTGTAAGGAAAAAATGTATTTTCTTAGGCACATACTTATGCAAACACATACTAGTAGGTATATCCAAAGTTACCAAGATAAGGAAGAGACACTTCTCAAAAAATAAACAGTCTACCAGGAAGGACAAGAAAAGCATGGTTATTTCTAAAAGAACAACTATAACAAGGTACAAAATAAAATAAGCACCCCCTTGGGAGTACAAAGATTGGAGGGTGGGGAGGAAAGATCATTATCTAGATGAAGAGATCCACAAAGAAAGGAACACGAAAGACACTGGCCTTAAATTGTGTTACCAGACACAAATCCAATGGGAGAGTGTCAGTGTTCTAAGCAGAGCAGACAACGCAGACAAACCAAGGTCTAAAAGTGTGAGAGATACCCAGGGAGTGGCAAGTGGTTCATTTTGGATGCAACAGTTACAGGCAATCAGACCAGAAAGGGAGGCGGGGGCCCAAATGTGCCTTGAATGCCAGACTAGAAAGCCTATTTTTGATTCAGGGGTGATGGGGAGCCACTGAAAGTTATGAACAGGGAGAGAGATGAACAAGGCAGTGAGTGAGATTAAATCTGACAGCAGTGTGCAAGATGAATTGCTCTGACAAAGCTTTCTTTGTTCCTTGGCACAGCTGTGGGGAAATGGAGGCACCAAACTTGGTGGTGAGAGGAACAGATCCTAGGAGGGCGAACACAGAAGCTCTCCTACCACTCAGCCTGGCTGCTCATCAGAATGAATTCTGAGAAACATCAACACACCGCGTTCTGCCATTATTTCGAGGACACTGTTTCCACCCTTCTTTTTATAACATCTGCATCACTGGTGTGCACAGCTCAGACAATATGCAGCTCATGGGGTGGGCACATTGGAAGATAAGAATGGAAATGACATTGAGTAAGCGGTGAAGTAATTAGAAAAAAAAGCGATGGATTTCAGTGAGGACAGGACAAAGCAATCTACCCAGCCAAGAAAAATGAACTTCATAAATAAAACATGATTAATGTACAAGCTATAAATAAACATAAGAGGAAAAGACCAAGGTCACAGGAGATAAAAATCTGACAGCCAGTCAGCACCGCATGACTACACTTTCGGAAAGCAAATAGAAGGACTCCAGTGCAGGTACGAGTGTGAAGTCCTCTCATGACACTCAAAAGTGATCAGAAACTCTCAGGGTGATACAGCCAGCTTTGTACTGCTAAACTGAAAAGGAATGTTGAGGAAAAATCAAACTTGGGAGGGATTCAGAAGGGACTCACAGATGATTAACAGGACGAAAAATAAAACCTCCGAAGAAAGATGAAGGAAACTGGAACAACTTGCAGCCTTTAAAAGAGGAAGAGAAGTAACAAAACCACCACAATCTTAAGAAGATGGCTGACAGCTGTTTGCCATCTGAAGACAAACTCCACATAAGCAGAGATGACAAGGGAAAAGGTGATGACTTTCACAGGCCCCACAGTGTCTAGACATGTAACGCACAGCTACTCAACACTTCTCACATCTCTGAAATTCACTTATTCTTACTACTTGTGTTTCTTTAACATTTCTCTTCTGAGTATTGCAGACCAACCCTGACTTAACATGTTGGGCTATATGTTAAACACAAGGACGTGGTCCTACAGTGGTTCGTGAATAAGCAAGCAGACGGTGTGGAAGTGCTTCTCAGATAAGGAATATACAGAATTTGTGATAGCAAGTGGATTTTAGGTGAGATTAGAAAGTACCCCTTAAATGAGACATCAAGAATGTTGTGGAAATTCCTTTGGTGGAAGTCTTTAAAAAAAAAAAACCGCTCACTTTTTCTTTCTGGCTGATTAAAGTTATCACTTTCCTAAAGGTAGTGGCTGTTTATAACCCTCCCAAAGTTGTAAGATTTTGTTTTTCAGTGCTTAAATAAAACTTTCTTCCCCAAAGTTATACCACTCCCAGGAACACAAGACCTAGTTATACATACAACGATCATCAGGAAGCTCCTTCCAGCAACATACTACTAAGACACAAGATTAAGGAAAAGTCTGGATCTTGGATATAGACACAGTTCAGGTTTCTAAAGTACACAAACACACAGCAAACTGTTGGAAAAAATATCACAAATGGTCTTACACTGACTGCACAGTTACATAATGATAAAGCTTAGTTCAATATCTCCTGGTAAAGAATGGATGTTATGAAGCTATAAAGACTGTGAGAAGTGATATTTTCACAGTTGGTTTCTCTATTTTTATCACTTTTCTCCCTACTTCCATCTTTCCCCAAAACCCCAAAAGGAAATGACCCTGAAACTGTAACACTTTTTTTCTTTCTCTTTCACTTCTTAACTCCTCTTTGCCTTCCCCTTGCTTAAGCCATAAGCCTCCAGTGACAGCTCTTGAGCCCCAGTCAATAAATGGGCAATATGGAACCAATATTTATCTTGGCACATCTCATTCTGGTTACATCTTACCCTTTCCTTCTCAAATCACCCACTCACTGGCTTTTCCCTTAAGCCTGTTCTCTAGAAAAACGCAATCTCTTCGGACTCTCACTGAACCACAGCTGCTTCAACCCGACTACATTTTTATTTCAAAGTCTTTTCAAACTTCAAAAAGACGTAGCATTCTTCAGAAGCACACCCCCGCTGCTGGAATTCTGCAAGAACTGGGGGCCCAACTGTTCAGCCTTTCCTCAGAGCCAGGTAACTGCTGCAGCAAATAACACAGAGCTACTCCACCTAGCGGACACCCCATCGGCTCTGAAGTGGGTTCCAGTCTTGAAAAGCCAGGCTTTGGAAATGAACCTCTCTCACTCAATTTTCCCTAATGCCAAATCATACAGCGCTTGTACCCCCAGAAGATGGGAATGAAGAAAGAATCACTTTGAGTTTTTTCGGCCGCGATTTCTTTTTTTGCAGATTATTAGTGGAAAGCCTTAAGGTTTTTAACTGAACAGAACTCCATATGTTGGTTGGAACTACATATTAAAAAAGGATAAATACCACCTTAAAATAAATTGGGGTGGGGAGAGGGGTGGCATGAACCCTCTTACAAGAAGTCTTACAAAACGATCTGATTGCTCTGCCTTCAAAAGACACCAGGTATCCCTTGACTGACAGTGTTAGCGCCATGTGGCAAAAATGAAGACTTCTGTTGCCTGTGGTCTCCTGGCGATGTCTAGATCTTCCTATGTCTCCTATTAGAGTGAGGGTCTTAAGGGCAAGAGTCTACTCCTGTTTTTCAGGAACCTTGGTCATATACAAAACAATCTTTGCCTTTTCAAATACTGAATGCTATGCTGTGCTAAGTCACCTCAGTTGTGTCCAACTCTTTGCAACTCTATGGACTGTAACCCACCAGGCTCCTCTGTCCATGGGATTCTCCAGGCAAGAATACTGGAGTGGGTTGCCATGCCCTCCTCCAGGGGATCTTCCTGACCCAGGGATTGAGCCTATGTCTCTTACGTCTCCTGCATTGGCAGGTAGATTCTTTACCACTAGCACCACTTCAGTTCAGTTGCTCAGTCATGTGCGACCCCATGAACCACAGCACGCCAGGCCTCCCTGTCTATCACCAAATCCCGGAGTTCACCCAAACTCATGTCCATTAAGTCGGTGAGGCCATCCAACCATCTTATCCTCTGTCATCCCCTTCTCCTCCCACCCTCAATCTTTCCCAGCATCAGGGTCTTTTCAAAAGAGTCAGCTCTTCGCATCAGGTGGCCAAAGGACTGGCGTTTCAGCTTCTGCATCAGTCCTTCCAAAGAACACCCAGGACTGATCTCCTTTAGGATGGACTGGTTGGATCTCCTTGCAGTCCAAGGGACTCTCAAGAGTCTTCTCCAACACCATAGTTCAAAAGCATCAATTCTTCTGCGCTCAGCTTTCTTTATATTCCAGCTCTCACATCCATACATGACTACTGGAAAAACCACAGCCTTGACTAGACGGACCTTTGTTGACAAAGCAGTGTCTCTGCTTTTTGATACGCTATCTAGGTTGGTCATAACTTTCCTTCCAAGGAGTAAGCATCTTTTAATTTCATGGCTACAATCACCATCGGCAGTGATTTTGGAGCCCAAAAAAATAAAGTCAGCCACTGCTTCCACACCTATTTGTCATGAAGTGATGGGACAGGATGCCATGATCTTAGTTTTCTTGGGAAGCCCCAAATACTGAATGTTTACCTCTAATTTCAAACTAAACTCTTGTCAGGAAGTTATTTAAAGCTATAAAGTATATCAACATACATTCAAAGGTGGCTGAGACTTCTTGATTATATTAGCAAACCAAACTGGTCTGCCACCAGAGACTTTAGATAAATACACACTACCTAAGCTAGTTCACATGTTACTATTCCTTAAGTCTCTCTAGCCAGTGGAATTTTTTCTTTTAAAGCACTTGCTGCACAAAAGCCACAAGGTGGCAGAGCTGATGTTCACATGAGGAAAGCTACTGCAGAAAGGAACACGTTCAAATACAGATCAGCTTGGTTTGTCTCAGTGATGACCTGTCCTGTGAGATGAGCGTTTACTGCTCAAAACCACAGCAGTTTAAGTACCACTAATTATATTAATTCCAACTATCATTACTAATCAGATCAACACTGCCCAATTTCTTTAACAATGATATACAATTTATAACATAAATTAAAAATATGAATCTCAGTACAATTTCTCCAACCGCTTACTTTGAAGTACCAAAACAGAATTACACCCACAATAAAAATATATTCAAGTATCACTTACATATGTCAACATTTATGTTGTTATTGTTCAGTTGCTAAGTCATGTCCAACTCTTAGCAGCAGACCAGGCTTCTTTCCAGGCCTTCACTATCTTCCTGAATTTGCCAAGATTTGTGTCCACTGAGTCGGTAATGCTATCTAACCATCTCATCCTCTGCTGCCCTTTTCTCCTTTTGCCTCACAATCTTTCCCAGCATTAACATTTATAACCATCCCTTGTATCTATGCCACCATGGGATAGAAACAGTCACATAAACTGTGGGTATTAACATTTCTAAAGATTGTAATTTTTTTTAAAGACTCAAAAGCAAAAAAGTTCATCAACAGGACCAGAATAAGGGGCATCTACACCAAATAGGCAGAGGGGATACCATATTCAAAGAAGGACAAGATATTCCTCTAGACGGGTGAGGAAAAATATTCCCCCAAATTTAGGCTGGCAGGATTTCAGCTAGACTAAAGCAGTGAGCAGAACTTCAAGGCTGGAAAAGGTGATTTTCTAGAAGCAGCAGCATGATCAAAACTGAAGCTAAAAGTTCAAAGAACCTGCTTGGGATATGATAAAAGGAAAAAAAAGTCTGGCTGGGACAAAGAGACCCTGTAAGCAAGCAATGTGCAATTAATCAGAAAAGACAAGACATATGAAGCCCACCTCATACTCCTCTCACTGTCAGTTCCAAGGCATTCTGTTTTCACTGGCATTTGAGTTGGCTAAAATAAAATCAGCTTAACAAATTAATTTTTAAATTTTATTCTACATAGTCACCTATATAACTAAGAAATACATGCATATTAGCATCTATTTTGCATGAAAAAAAAACAGCAAATGCAAAGAGAATAACCTAACCTTGCTGGTCAAGTCAATTCCTTAAGTGTGATAACACTGCTGAGTATTCACCTGCGGAGCACACTTAAGCTGTGTGGTTTTCTTCAACAACACTGAGCAACTGAGGCAGAGCTGAGACTTTTGCCGGTGGGTGTGATGAAGGGCAACGGAATGAGGGAGCTGAGCGGCTGAGAGGGGTGGAAGGGATTTCAACTTGGCAGGAGGCCAAGAGGGAAGAGCGGTGAGGAGAAAAGAAGGTAAAGGGGGGTGAGAGATGAGGTCTCAAGTCGTCCAGGACTGGTGCCTTTCCCAGCGGTAGAAGGGACAGGGAGAGAAGAGAGCTGGGCAGAACAGAAGTTAGGCCCAAAGAGGAGTAAGCCCAACTTTGGGACCTCTGGGGCAGAAAGCCCAGATCAGATCCATGGTGCAACCGTGAAAGTAAGTGGCAGAAACTGCATGGAGATGAACGGCCCTGGAAACTGGAAGGTAAACAGGTGCCGGATGAACTCTACGGTAAACTGGGAGTCCCAAAAAGTCAGTGGAATTCAAAGTATACACACTTCCGGTGGAACTGCAACCCCAATGGCCAAGAAAATGGCAATCCCTCTTGTGAAGAATCACGCGGAAGGGTGCGAGAGCTGCAGAAAGCTGTAGAGACAGAGGGCAGGGAACCCCAAGAAGGGCCAAGCAGCAATCGTCTGCAATCCGCATCAAGGCGGCCCTATGTGTCGCAAAACCAGTCACTCTGGGGGTTTGTTTTATTTGACCTTTCCACAGCAATCTGCACTGATCTCCACATTTCCTGTCTTAAAATCCTCCCCTCTCCTGGCTTCCACAACAGGTCCCATTCTGAGTTTTCTTCTACTTCTCTGGCTCTCGCTCAGCAGGCTTGGTTTCACTCCCTGTCACGCTATCTTCCCTCTCTCTGTAGGTGTAGTAGAAAGGGAAGATAGCGTGACGGGGAGTAAAACCAACCAGTTTTCATATAAACTGAGAAAACTGGACCCACTGTTCAATTTCTACTCTGTAGCTGTTTGACTCTCCCACAATCCTCCACTCCACCCTCCTTTTCAGCGTCTAAGGAGGAGGCCCTCATCTAGTCTGGAAGAGTGGGGTGTTCCTTGACAAAGTGAGGCTGAGTGGAACCTGGGCCTGATTGGGAGCTTAGTTCCTAATGTCTTCTGAATTCACCGTTTCGTGATTTTCAAATGTCTCTCTCTAGCCAATCTGGTCTGAGTCACAATGCCTACACAGCATCTTCAAATAGATGTCTTGGAATTCCCTCACACTCAGTGAGGTCTCAGAGCAACACCCCCACACCCCATCCTCTTCCAGGGTCCCCGTCTCAGTCACAGGCGCCACCTCATCCCAGCAACTCGGACGTCTCCCCCAAACCTCTTCCCTCCTCAACCCCACATTCATTCAGTCACCAAACAGCGCCTATCTTCATCTCCCAAGTGTTCTCTATCCACCTCCTTCTCTCTGTCCCTACAGCTACCACCTCTCAAAAGCTGCTATCGTCTCTTACCAATGCCCATGCCAACCTGTCTGAGTACTAGTCCCTGCCCCCCCTTATTTCTTCCCAACTAGGTCGAAGTTCAACTCAACATCCCTTCATCAAGGAACACCCCACTCCTCCCGACTAGATGACGTCCTTCCTCTTATAAGGAGAGGAAGATGGAGTGGAGGATTTGGGGAGAGTATAACAGCTACAGAGTTTAATAATGGGTCCAACCTTCTCAGCTTACAGAATGACTTAATTTAAACAACTGCTAGAGATAAAAGAACCAAAGATGGCAAATCAGCGACTCATTTCATACCTTCCCTATTGCCTTAAGTGAACGCAAAACTTGAGAGATTAAACAGCTTACACAATTAACTTCTTAGTTGTTTTGTGCAGTGTAGTGTGTTGGTTGCTCAGTCGTGTCCAACTCTTTGCAACCCCATGGACTGTAACCCAGCAGGCTCCTCCGTCCATGGGATTTTCCAGGCAAGAATACTGGAGTGGGTTACCATTTCCTTCTCCAGGGGATCTTCCCAACCGAGGAATTGAACTTGGGTCTCCTGCATTGCAAGCAGATTCTTTACTCTCTGAGACATCAGGGAAGCTGGGAGTTGCTTCATAATCATTGCCAACTAGTAACTATCGTCATTCTCCTCAAAAAAATTAAGCATCTATCAACACAACAATGGCTAGCACCACTGAGCTGCAACAATTCCGACTGACCAAAGTCAGAGCAAAGTCAGTGGGAGAAAGTCAGTGGGGAAAAACTTTTGCAGATAGGACACTTCTGATTCATCTAACAGGATATAATCTTCAATACCATCATCACCAGGGCCTCAAAAACTAAGTATCAGGAAGTGGAGCTAACTCTTCCTGTTTGATTATTCCTCTGTGCAAATTTTTTAGTATATGTGCTGCTGAAGTGAGCACTCCTCCATGCAAAATAATGAGAAAAAGATACAACCAACAGATAAAGAACAAACAAGTAAAACAAACAAAAACCAAAAAAACCGAATGAAGCGCAATCACGAGAAGAAAAACATTATACCTGTAAAGAAGCCACCTAGAAGAGATAAGGCGCTTTACACGCACTGCTTCGAATTCTTCACTAAGTCAAATCATGGCACGGTCCCAACTCCTTTGACTTCTAAGTCTGACTATGCCACGGCTAAGGCTTCTTATCAATGCCAAGACTGGTTCCTCTCATGTGAAGTTGAAGTTAGTTGCTCAGTCGAGTCCGAGTCTTTGTGAACCCATGGCTGTAGCCCACCAGGCTCCTCTGTCTATAGAATTCTCCAGACGGGAAACCTGGAGTGGGTAGCTTTTCCCTTCTCCAGGGGATCTTCCCGACCCAAGGATTGAATCTGGGTCTCATGCACTGCAGGCAGATTCTTTACCATCTGAGCCACCAGATTCGTCCCATACTGCACCATTATCATGTCACTGTACTCCCTATGCCTAGCATACTGCAAGCATTCAACAACTTTTTAAAAAATAATCAAAACAATAAACATAGCAAAGTATTAAGCTTTTTTTTTAACATAGCACCACCCATCACTGCCTTGTACTGAACATCAAACTGAGGGGGCACATAGAGGCTCCCCTCAAAGAGCAAAGTCCCATTATGACATCAATTATTTATCAAGAGTTCCTATTAGGTCTACCAAAGCTACATTTAACAATAGCCTCATATAATACAGTTGACAGTCCCATTTCCTAGCAGCAAGATTATAAGGGAATGCAATGAATCAAAACTGTAATAATAAAAATTGTGTGATTATCATACATCAAGTAACAACACTCTCAGAGTCACTCTAAACCAATTCTGAAGAACAACAACAAAAGTTAGGACTGGCCATTTTGAGCCGAACATCTAATGTTATAAAAGATCAAATTTCCTTTTTCAAATTGTCCTTAGGGCCAGATGGTCTTTATTTTGAAGTACTCAGACCTGCCAGGGTAAAAGAAAGTTGCTGCGCAAGTTCTGAACTCTTTACTTACTTTCTTCTTTCTTCCCTCCATCTTGCAATCTCCTCTGGAGTGTCTAACTTGATTTTCTTCATACCAGGGGCATGCATCTAAGGGGAAAAGGCCTGGTGAATATCAGGAAGCATACTGTATGCTTTTGACTAAATCTGAAGAATTATAGGGGATAATGAAGATGCTGTACCCAACAGTACATTTACTAGGAGAGACAATTTTAAAACTAAGCAAGCAAAAAATAAAACAAAAACAAAACTATAAAAATAAAAAATAAAAAAATTTTAAAAATAACAAAACTATAAAAATAAAAAATAAAAAAATAAAACAGGTTTTATCTATCTTTATTATGACTTTTCCTTTAAAGGAAAGTCCTTTTCCTTTTTTCATATCTTTAGTGCTATTGATTAAAAAGAAAAGCAAGCCATGATATAATCTCGGTTATAAAGCAAATGTCATCAATTTCTTGAGTAATATTAGATATTCATATGACTGACCGACCAACTATAGTTGAGGGAGTTACCTAGAGAAATGATAAGTACACAAAACAATCTGAAACAGCACAGTTTAGTAAAACAAGCACGGAATTTGCAGCTAAGAAACCCAAGTGCAAGAATAAGTTCTGAGGCCCTGAGCAAATCATTTTATAAATCTGTTAAACAGGGCCAAGATTTATCTAGTCCACAGTGGATGATGAGGATGAAATTGAATAATGGATTATAAAAATGCCTTACCAAGTACAAAGGCTCATGAATGTTGCTGATTATTAGGCTATGTAGATAAAGTACTATGAAGATAACAGATCAATGAAATAAAAAGAGAGTGTATCAAAGAAAAAAAAAAAAACAACTTACATTCCTCCAATGGAACTGGACAATCTTCTCATGCGCACTAAAAGAGCAATCTACCTCGGGGCACTGTAAGGAGTTTGTTTTAAAAAAAAAAAGACTCAATTCAACATTTCCCATGAAAAATGTACCCTTCTACTATACAGACAGACATATTCTGGCATTATTACCTAGTATCCCGTCTATGTGGTGTTATCCATGAATACTTAAAACAACAGCAAGACAAAACTCACTCCAAAACCAAGTTGCGCTCTAAAAGTATATAGTACAGTAAAACATAGCATTCACTTCTCCATTTGAGTCAACGCAGGACATCAGCAATGTTGTAAAATGTTATTTCCTCAAGTCGAGCATGACTCCCACAAACTGAAGAGCACTTACCCAACTAAGAACTTCCTAACGTTTTTCCTTCTCAACAGCTGCCAGACCTCCCTTCGCCTCTGCCATCTTACCGACTCCTGAAGCGGAGGCTTCCCACCCTCAAACTGCAAATCCCAGGGTTACTGTCTCAACTTGCCTTCAAACAATATTTCTATGATAACTTAAACTTTTACAGGAAGAAAGCTCAGAATTCCTACCAAATACACCCATTTTGCTAAATAAAATCAGGATAACCAAGAAACCTACTTTTGTATGTTCGGACATATGTTTATCATACTTTTCTTGATTTTTAAAACCACGATCACAGGTATCACAAAAATAGTGAAAAACGGGTTCCTTTCTTTTCTGCAAATAAAAATGAAGAAGCATTAGGCTTTGGATGAGAACTCAATCAGCAGTAAAAATATGCAGGTTTTGATTTTTCATATATTCTTACACATGGGAGAAACTTCTGAATATATTTCTAATGAAGGGGTGATTCTCTTTCTTCAACACATACATTAGGAAAAGCCAGGTTTGTTAAAAAAAAAAAAATTAAGACTTCCCTGGTGGTCCAGCAGTTAAGATTCTGTGCTTCCAATGTGGCAGGCAAGGTCTGATGCCTGTTCAGGGCTACCCAGGTGGTTTAGTGGTAGAGAATCTGCCTGACAATACAGGAGATGCAAGAGATGAAGGTTTGATCCCTGAGTCAGGAAGACCCACAGGAGCAGAATATGGCAACCCGCTCCTCGTTTCTTGCCTGGGAAATCCCATGACAGAGGGGCCTGGTGGGCTACAGTCCATCGGGTCACAGAGTCAGACGTGACCGAGTGACTGAGCATGCACGCGGGGAACTAAGACCCCACATGCCACAAGGCATGGCCAAAAAAAAATTTAATCTGAATAGAGTTCATATAAACCATGAATAGATTTCAAATTGGTAATCTAATTAAAATGCAGTAGAGCATATGTCAAAATAACCTAAATATTTGTAAACACAGCATTTCTTCCTTTAGGATAAATAAATAAGTGTGTGTGTATATATATAAAACTACTAAATGAGAGAAAATAACTAGGTAAATATTAGTTATTTTCTTATTCCCAATTTACTATTTTTATGTTTAAACATAAAAAAGATTATTACAATGATAAGACTATATAGGAAGTAGACTCCAATTGTTCAATGTTGAGATTATGTTATTAGATATATTACACATTCAAAGTATTTTGTAAATATCAGCAACACAGTTTTGATACCAACATGAAGGGTAGTAATTTCATGATGTAGATCTTATTCAATTTATTCTAATGCCATTATTTATACATCTTAAAAGTCGAAAGACCAGACTGTTAAGCTACATCAGAATAAAGGAAATCTATTTTAAGGCTCAGTTTCTGAACATAATCAAGGGTTGAAAACACACAAAAACTTTTCATTTCATCCTTCCCCTCCCAATCTGCTAGTAAAATAAATATATATATTATGTATAAGTATATATCTTTTACTTCATTGAAATTCAATAACATTTACATTTATCTGTAATCATAATTGCCCATATTTACTCCTGATACTGTATGTAAATAGATTGACTGTTTTCTTTTTCTACAGTTTCTCCATTTTTTCTCAAGAAGATTTTGCTTGAAGTTTTTACTTACAGCCAAGACCCTCAAAGATTCTTTTACAGCAAAGCTATGGTGAGTCAATGATGAATGCAAAATAGAGACAGTTATGACAGATGAGATATGAAGCAGTGACATAGGAACCAAAGTGTCACATTTTAGAACATCTTTAAAAATACCTTTTTTTTCTGTTTTCTTCTGGGAGAGACACTGAAGTCATTGACCCTTGCATCATGCTTTCGTGGAAAATAAGTATGTTTAACTGGAAAAAAAGATTCATAAATGTTAAAAACTGTACGATTATTTAATATTTTGCTAGAGCACATCATAAATACTTGAGTTACAATAGTGGCAGCCCACTAGAATCCTCCTGCAATGCAGGAGACCCAGGTTTGATCCCTAGGTCAGGAAGATCCCCTGGAGAAGGGAATGGCAACCCAATTCAGAACTCTTGACTGGAGAATTCCAGGGACAGAGGAGCCTGTCAGGCTACAATCCGACAGGACTGAGCGACTTTCACTTTCACCCTTTCTAGGAAGAATAGTGATTCACACACAGTTCCTGCCTCAAGGCCTCTGCACTTACAAGTCTCTCTGCCTGCATGGCTAAGCCCCAGACATATGCACTGCAAGAGACTCGGGTTCCATCCCTGCAGCGGGAAGATCCCCTGGAGAAGGAAATGGCAACCCAGTCCAGTATTCATGCTTGGGGAATCCCATGGACAGATGAGCCTGGGGGGCTACAGTCCATGGCGCTGCAGAGAGTCAGACATGACTTAGCTACTAAACACTAACAACTGATCCCTCACCTCCCTTAAGTCTCTGCTCCAATGTGACCTTACTCATGACTGACACTGACATTTAAAACTGCACTGCCTGTGACTCTGCTTTCTCTCTCCACAGCACTCACTGCCTTCTAATAGGCACTGCTTTCTTTTGTTTATTGTCTCTGTCATCTTACACCAGGAGATGTCAAGGCCTAAGATAAGGATTTCTGAATGTTTTGCTCACTGCTGTACCCTCACGTCCTGGCTCATAGTTTGAATCAACCAAATAATTGCTAAACTAAATGAACAAGTCGGGAAATCGTAACTGTGGAACAAACTGTGAGACATTAATGACCAGACTCCCAAGAGAGCAAGGCAGTATCAGAAGAAGAGAGGAGAACAAGGGTGGAAGAGGAGGAGGAAGTAGGGATGGAAAAGAAAGATAAGGGGTTGTACGGAAAGGCGTTAACAACGTACCTGGAGTGCTGTGGGGCTGCTGATGCCAAGGAAAACCACCGGGAGACTGCGTCCAGTACCGTGACGCTGACGCCTGGAAATTCCACGAAGGCTGGCCGTTGAGTTGAGGCTGAGAATCGAGGGGGGACTGGGCGTCAAAGGGGGGCTGCGCCCCGGGAAGAATGTGGGCGTCGAAGGGGGGAGGTGCCCCGGGGAAAGTGCGGGCTTCCGCGCGGGGCTGTGCCTCTAAGGCAGGCTCGGACCCTGCTGCGGGAAGCGACGAAGGCGGCGGCGGCGGCGGCGGCATCGCCCACAGCATCCAGTTGTTCGGCCGCGAGGCTCGGTCGCGTAAAGGCCCCAGCGTGGGTGTTAGCTCGGGGGCTGGGAACCACCCGGCGGGAAGCACGGCACCACCAGCCGGCTCCCCCATCGCCACCCGCCTGGTAGTCAACCCGGCGTGCGAGTGCGCAGCAAGCCTTATGCGTCACTTCCGTTACCGCCAATAGCAAAGATCAACCAATCACAAGCTGAAATGTCATCGGCCGGCGCCGGAAGAGCTTCCCTCGCGTTCGGCGGCTCGCGGGCTGCCCGTCGTGGAGTTCTGACTCGGCTTAGAGACACTTGTGTACGCCTGCAGTGTCTGACCCCCGCGGATGGCGAGGGATCTGATTGGGCCGGCCCTGCCGCCCGGCTTCAAGGCCGGCGGGTCGGCGGAGGACGAGGAGCGGGACTCCAGCCCCGGTAAGCGGCGGCGAGTTACCCGCCCGACAGCCTCTCCCGCCCAGTCTCTGGCCTGGCCCTGGTCCCGACGCCTGGGAAGGCGGACGCCTGGCGAGTGGGCGCGGCCGGGTCCGAAGTAACTCTCCTTCCCAGGCGGAGTCCTAGGGGCTGCAGAAACTAGCTTTGGCCTGTAACCATTATCACAATGAAGTATCCGCACTTAGCGCTTAATGGACTGCACCCTCAGCTAAACCGTCGATACGCGTTTCAGTCCTTTAACCCTCCTGGCCACTGCGTAAGGTAACTATTCTTCGGTGATACGGATGGGGACACTGAGACTCGGGCTGTTGCCCATGCCGCATCGCTCGTTAAGTGGCAGAGCCCTATTTAGAGCGAAGCCCGTGCTCCGAACCTCTGTGCTGTCTTGCCTTCTGACGTACAGTGAATGCTCTTGGATCTTGCAGAATCTTTGCCCTCAAGCCCCCGGCCAGCCTTCCTGCCCCTCTCATCTGTCATTTCATCTGACACACAGTTCAGCGCTCAAACCCGTCCGAGTGTCTGCGCAGTTCTTCAGTTCCCTAGGCTCCTTCGGGCTTTGCCCTGCCCTTTTTGACATACCTGACAAACTCCTACCTCATCCTTTGAGCCCTAACTTCAACGTCAGCTCAGTGAAGCCTTGCCAAAGTGTCTCGCCCTCCTCTCTACCCATGGGGGGGTTTTTTTGTTTTGTTTTTTCCTACTTAAATACAACAGGTATTTAATACACTTTTGAAATGATTTGTTGATATAGCTCAGTAATCTTCTAGTCTTAACACACAACTGGTACCTCGTATTTGCCAAAGAAAAAGATTCTCGGAGCCCTCCCTGAGCATCCATCTCCTTTCATGTTTGTTCTGATGTGTAGCCTGGGGTTGACTGAAGTTAGAAAACAGTAAAGCTGAAGGAATAACCCTCCCATTTCTGAATCTAATTTGCACTCTTGACTACCCAGAGGCCATGTTTCCACCTAGGGATTTTTTTTCCAGATCTTGTTTTCGCTGTGGTTTTTAAAAAGTTAAGTGTTTATTTTAGCAAGGAAAGTTCCCTTCAACAATGACTGAAGAAAAGTGGAGTTAACCCAATTTTTTATTTAGCACACAGGTTTGAGATGGACCAAATTAATTTTATTTGAATACTCTGGAAAACTGAATGTTGGGAAATGTCACCTGAGATCATGTTTAAAAACTGGGGTGAGACAAGTCCCAACATCCAGATACTGCTTTGTGGAAGTTGAGTGGAACCTGGGCCTTTCTTACTCTGACTTTATTCTCTTCATCTGCAGTGACCTTCATACCACTCATCTCAGCTACATTTGTAGTCACACGCCGGACCTTATTCCATTTCTGAAAAGTGTTTTGGGAAGGGAGGGAGGCACCTCATAGCTTGTGGGATCTTATTTCCACGACCAGGAATTGAACCCAGGCCTTCCACAGTGAGACCATGGATTTGGAGTCCTAACCACTGGACCGCCAGGGATTTACACATCTCTGAAAACTTAAATTCAGTCTCATTCTCAGCCAGACCCCTTATTCATACATCATTCTTCCTTGGTTACTCTCGTTGTTCAGTCGCTAAGTTGTGTCCGACTCTTGACTGTGACAAGGTTGCAAAAACTGTGGAACTCAGCACTCTTTCAGGAAGAGAAGGAGAGAGCAAGAGGAGCTGTCTGGGAACCACAGGTTGCCTACGGGATGGTCAGATTGTTGTATTAGCTATTGAGTTACTTCTGTATCTGGCAAAGGTGTGGGTAAGGCAGAGAAGGAAGGCTGGATCAGTGGTAGTTGTTGTTCAGTCACTAAGTTGTGTCCAACTCTTTGTGACGCCATGCCAGGCTCCCCTGTCTTCCACTATCACCCAGGGTTTGCTCAAATTCATGTCCATTGAGTCAGTGATTCTATCTAACCGTCTCATCTCTGCTGCCTTTTTCTTTTGCCTTCAATCTTTCCCAGCTTCAGGGTCTTTTCCAGTGAGTCGGCTCTTTGCATCAGGTGGCCAAAGGATTGGAGCTTCAGCTTCAGCATCGGTCCTTCCAGTGAATGTTCAGGGTTGATTTCCTTTAGGATTGACTGGTTTGATTGCCTTGCTGTCCATGGACTCTTAAGGGTCTTCTCCAGCACCACAGTTCAAAAGCATCAGTTTTTCAGTGCTCAGTTGTCTTCATGGTCCAACTCTCACGTCCACAAATGACTACTGGAAGAACCATAGCTTGACTGTACAGACTTTGTCAGCAAAGTGATGTCTCTGCTTTTTAATTTGCGTGGTTACTCTCATCACAGTTTTTTTTAATCTTCGGTTTTAGTCTCATTGAGCCTCTCTGCCTCAGTCCTAATGGACCTCCTTCCTTTTATTGTTTCTGTCCCTGCTCAACTTAGCCTCTGTGGTCTATGCATTCATCCGTTCTCCTGTCAGTATCTTCCACTGCCTTTTCCCATCCAGTAATTCTATAAATCCATCTGACAAAAATTCCACCCTGGATCAGTCCAGACGTTCACCCCTAGTGAACCACACCCAGGCTTCCACATGCTGCTAGATGAAACCTCACCCCTCCTCAGGCTATTGCTGCTGCAAACCATAATCTCCCTGGCTGGGTCAGCTCTGCCCTGCTATCCTGTGATGATTTGCCACACTGCTGTCCGCCCCAGTGATCAACTTTAACTTTTTAAATTCTACTCTTTCTTCTTTAGCCTCTCTCTCCATCACAGAAAAAGTAGATGCCATCTTAAAAAAACTTCCTGACTTTTCTGGTACTTTGCCTAAAAACTCTCACCAATTTCACTGTGAAAGTAAACAACCCACCAGTTGTCTCTCAGCACCTTTTTTTAAATAGCTTTTTCTGTTTATTTATTTTTGGATGCACTGGGCCTTCGTTGCGGCTTGCGTGCTCTCTCTAGCTGTGACAAGCCGGGCCTGCTCTAGTTGCGGTGCGTGGGCTTCTCCCTGCGGCGGCGTCTCGCTGGGGAGCACCGGCTGTCGGGCACACGAGCTTCAGTAGTCTCTGCTCATGGACTCAGTCGCTGTGGTTCATGGCCTCTAGAGTACGGGCTCTGTAGCCTGGTGCACAGGCTTAGCTACCCGGTGGCATGTGGGATCTTCCCAGACCAGAGATGGAACCCAGGTCCCCTGCATGGGCAGGCGGATTCTTCACCACTGAGTCACTAAGGAAGTCCCTCTCAGCAGCTTGTTGCTAAATTCAAGGCACTCTTTTCAGTCCTGACCTTGCCTGACCTCACAGCAGCATCCCCCACCCCACTCCCACTCCCATGATCCCTCCTCTCCTCTCTTGGCTCCAGCCACTCGGAGCACATTTCTAGATGCGTCAGACCCTTCGGCTTGCAGTTCATCACAGGTGCTTTTCCCTCTGCGTGGACCACGTTTGCCCCAACCCACACTCCCTTTGTCTCGTCTTTTGGCCTCAGCCCACCCACTGCTCTTTCTAGGCAGCTTTCTCTGATGTCACTACCTACTCCCATCAAAAGACACTGGGATGCTCCCTATTGATATTTCCATGACTTAAGCCTGGCACAGGATCAGCAAGCTTTTCCTGGACCAGACAGTAAATACTTTAGACTTTGCCCGTCAACAGGCAAAATCAAGATTATTGTGAAAGTCTGTATGAAACAAAAGAGAAAACAAATTTCCACAAATGTTTTTTAAGTCTCATTGAATTTGTTGCAGTATAGCTTCTGTTTCATGTTTTGGTTTTTTGGCTGAGAGGCACGTGGGGTCTTCGCTCCTTGGCCAGGAACCGAACCAGCACCCCCTTCATCGGAAGGTGCAGTCTTAACCTTGGGACCACTAGGCAAGTCCCTAAGTTTTTATTGTGGAAATTGAAAACATAATATGAGTATAATTCTTTTGTAGTATAAACATACTTGTGAGAAGAATGGAATTGCTTTAGAGGGAATAACATTTTACTTAATTGGGGTTCAGAGTCAGTGTTTCCTGTTATAATCAATTGCTGATCTGTAAAGAGGTCTGATGTGATATATACTGAGTACTTCTTTTTGTGTCTGCATAATTCTGTCTGATAGGTATTACAAGGGGAACATAATGGAATGTATAAGGCATAATCTGTATTCTTATGGAAGTTGTAATCTATTGGTAAAATTACTGCTGCAGTGGGAGAGCTGCCTTAATAACACGCATCACTACTCTAGGAGTGAGATGGAATTGTTCATTACAAGCACCTAAAACAGTATTTTAAGACATTTTCTATAGTTCTGAAGAATGATACCTATAAAAAAGTGAAGCCAGGCATATCCTCAATTTTATTAGAAAGTCTGTAATGGGGCATATATTGTACTAACTTATGTTTTCAATATTCTTTTTTTAAAGTATTACCATTTCTTAGTATTATTTTATTGTGTAGTAATTATTTCTTTTGACATAACCCAAATGGAAAATAAATAATGCTATATTCTGAATATTACTTTCCTACATTATTTTTCCTGGGATCATTTTTTTAAAAAATAAGGCCTGACATTCTTCTCAGAGGAATTTTGTCTTCATCTTTTTATTCCCATCTTTAAACATATCCCAGGTGTTTCTTTAAAAATTCAAGGCAGATTTATCCCTTAGTTGTAATACAGCACATGTTTAACCCATTTAACCTTTTAATCATTTGAACTTTACAAAAGAATATTAAAACCTCATCTTGATTGAAACAAACCCAAAATTAGCCAGTAGTGTCAAATTGACAAATTACATCGATAACACCCATATATAAGAAAAGGAAGGAGCAAAAGAGAAAAAAAATAAAGGAAAAAAGAAAAAACTTCCCTCCTTAATATTTAGAAACAAGAAGATGGAAAGAACCAATCATGGGAATGAAATGTAATCTCTTAATCTCTTATGGGATTCCCTGGTGGCTCAGAAGGTAAAGCGTCTACCTGCAATGTGGGGGACCCAGGTTCATCCCTGGGTCAGGAAGACCCCCTGGAGAAGGAAATGGCAGCCCACTCCAGTACTGTTGCCTGGAAAATCCCATGGACGGAGGAGCTTGGTAGGCTACAGTCCACGGGGTCACACAGAGTCAGACACGACTGAGCGACTTCACTTTAACTCTTAACTTTAATCTGTTTTATGTTAAACTATGACTCCCTAGAATTTTGAAGAAAGGATTATTTGTAGAAGGTGGTGTTCTCCCCTTCTTGCTATATTCTAAAAGGTTCTTTCTCTGGGATTAGTACTACATACAGAGATAAACCAGAAATCAGTAAAGGCACTATTCATCACAATCAGAAGTCATGTAATCTCCATTTGTGGTTGTGGAATATATACATACTAAGACATTAACTATTCTGCGATCTTAAACAGCAGTGGGAGACAGGAGTTCTGTCCCTTAATTCTTAATGTTTTCTGCCTTTTGCTGCTTGCTTATTCTTTTCTAGACATGCTGTGTTACAAGTTCAGCATTTTTTTTCTTAAAGTCCTTCCTTTATTTAATGATATATAGAAAAAAGGCATCCAATTTGTTAAGACAGGGACTTCCCTGGCAGTCCAGCAGTTAAGACTCCACACTCCCACTGCTGGGGGCATGGGTTCAATCCCAGGTAGGAGAACTGAGATCTCAGATGTTGTGCAGCATGGCCAAAAATCAGTCAATCTTATTTAAAAGAAAAAAGGGAGGGCGTGGCATGGGAAGGTTAAATAACATTCAAACCACACAGCTAATAAGCAGCTGAGCTGGAATTCATGGCTAGAGTCTGACCCCAAAGCATACATTGTAACTAACCCCTTTATACCCTCCAGTTTTGTCTTGTCACTTTGCTTAACTTTGCTTTAGCTACACAGGCCTTTTAGTCCCTCAAGCACCTCAAGCTTGTTCTCTCCATAGGACCTTTGCAGCAGTGATTCCCCCATCTAGAATGTTCTTCCCTCAGATTGTTCCATGGCCACTGTCATCATTTAAGTCTCCGTACAAACGTCTTCTCAGGGGGACCTTCCCTGACCTCTGTCTTTAGAATTACCCTCCCACACGTTCACAGTCACCTTTTTAATTTATTTTCTAAGTTATGTCTCTAGAAGTATTTACTCCATAAATATTTGTTGAATGTTGACCCTTTGTTGAATTGTGTTTGGTGTAGTGGTTAAGAAGTTCATATCATAACTCCTCTGTTTAGTTGTGTGAAATTGGGCGAGATACTATCTCCCTCAGTTTCCTTGTCTGCGAGATAGAAGTCATTCATACTACTGTCCTAATAACGTTGTTGTCAGAATTAAATAGGTAAATGCACAGAAGTCTCTCAAGTTTTTGTTGCTGTTAATATTGAGGGAATAGCATACCTGGAAAGCTCTTTGGAAAATCATATTTCCAGGTCCTCCGCCAGGCCAACTGAGTCAAAATGTCTGTGGTAAGGGCCCAGGAATCTTTTTTTAAAAAATATTTTGGTGAATATATTAAACATCCAGGCTTGAGTTTTGGCATCACTGCTTAAAATTGACAGACAGTTTTATGTGTGTGACATCATGCAATGATAATTTTTGCTGAGCCATAAAGTAAGAGCAGTTGGCTCTGTTAGTGGGCCCAGAAGACCATCATCCCTCCCTCAGCATCCCCACCCCAGTGCAGCCTCATTCTCTTTTCTGAGTCTCTGTCAGAAAAGAGCAGAATTTAGAGTGTGTCTGCTTTTGTCTCTGCTTGGAAATCATCTTGAACAGAAAACTAACTGAGAAGTATGGTAATGCTCATAAAGAGTTTTTTTTAAGTGGTGACTCTTAGTCAGCAACCAGAATGGATAATTTTGATTTTTAACGTATTAGAGTATGAAATGGCAGATTTGTTGTTTGGTTAACTCATTTGTTGTGATGTATTATCTACCATATGCTGTCTGTTAGTAAAAAAGAAATCATGAAACCATTTTGGCAGTTGCACCAACCAAAATTACAACCAATGCAAAAACTGTAAGATATCAGGGAAATTACATGCTGTTGCTGTATTTATAAGTTCGGGTTTTTAAGTTTTTGTGATCTCATAGTTAATCTCATAGTGTAAGACATGATCTCTGCCTTCCTGGAGTTGGAAAGACTAAACCACTATACGAAGAACAAGAGCAAAGGAGATTAAAGTCCATAATAAATGGTAGCCCGCCAGTGCTGTGAATTTCGGAAAATAAAGTGTGAAATGTCAGCTCGGACAGCAGTCCCCAGCCTTTCTGGCCCCAGGGACCCGTTTCGGGGAAGACAGTTTTTCCACAGATGGGGTAGGGGGTGGTTTTGGAGTGATCTCAGGCACATTGCATTTATTGTGCACTTGATTATTATTACATGTGCTCCACCTCAGATCATCAGGCATTAGATCCTAAAGGTTGAGGACCCCTGAGCTAAGAGATTCACTGAAACAGTTGTGACTACTTATGACAAACACAAGACATCTTTTTCAGTTGCAGGACCGGCTCTGCCCCCTAATTATAAAAGCAGTAGTTCAGAGTCATCAGACAGCGACGAGGACAGTAGTTCTTTGTCCGAAGAAGGAAATCAAGAATCTGAAGAAGACGACACTGGTCCACCGGCCCGGTCAGTCCGTTATTACATTAAATGGTAAACCACGCTCCGAATCTGGTACATATTGGTTAGACTAGATAGCTAGTAAGGGGCTTCCCTGTGACTCAGGTGGTAAAGAATCTGCCTGCAGTGAAGGAGACCCGGGTTCAATCCCAGGGTCAGGAACATACCCTGGAGAAGGAAATGGCAACCCATTCCAGTATTCTTGCCTGGAGAATCCCATGAACAGAGGAGCCTGGTAGGCTACTGTCCATGGAGTCGCAAAAGAATCAGACACGACTGAGCAACTAACACTTTCCCAAGGAGCTATCATAACCCGCATTTATACAGCACAAGAAGAAATCACTTCATATTTCATTTCCTCATGAACTATACCTTTTACAGAAAAATGTATCTTGGTAGTATATAGCTCCAGAGATATCTAGAATTTCAATAAATGTCTTATATAAAGAATCTTTCCATAAGGTATTATTGAAGTGATTAAATATTATGAGTAAACCATACATCTTCTCTTAAAAATTATGTATGCGGTGTGTGCTTTTTGTTTAAGTAAATGAAGAATTCTCCCTGACCTAGCCTTACTCACCCGAGGCCCATGTAGATAAGAAATCAGATCTTTATTATGGGATAGCAAGGGTTTTTAAAATGCATTTTAATGACTAAGGAACAAAAATAGCAACCCTTACAAAAGTGAATTTAAAAGCCAATGTCATAAATTCTTTGCTTAAAAATATCTAGCATGTAGAATATTTGAAACCTCACTGGTTAGAGTCTTTTTTCAACACAGAAACTACAGAAAATTGATACATCACCGCTGTAGAGAAGTAACCAGTCTCTATTTTAGACCTCGAGTGAATTCCCAGGAAAGATTAGTATAAGATCTGTGGTACCTTTTCTTTTTTGCTTGGCAAGATAAATTTATTGTTTCAGAGTTTATACAACTAGTTGAAGTTAGTATGCCTTTAAAAATTAAAATTTCCCTATGAAAAAACTTCTGACATACATGCATAAAATTACACTACTATGTTTTCAGAAAACCGAGGAGAAATCAAGATGATGATGACGATGATGATGATGAAGGGTTTTTTGGACCAGCTCTTCCTCCTGGGTTTAAAAAACAAGATGATTCTCCTCCACGGTAAGAATGTGTACCCTTTCAGGCCAGTCTTTTCTCCTGTCTATTAATTTATTAAAGAGTTGTCTGAAATTTTTGTTTGTTTGTTTTGTTTTTTAATTTTATTTTTTTGGCTGCGTTGGGTTTTAGTTGCGACGTGTGTGATCTAGTTCCCTGACACAGGATCGAACCTGGGCCACCTGCATTGTGAGCTCAGAGTCTTAACCACTGGACCACCAGGGAAGTCCCTGAAATTGTTTTTTAACTTATATATTAATATAACATTTGAAATAAATTTGAAGTGAAAAAAAATTTTAAATCCACATAAGAAAAATAAATTATTTACATGTTTATGACACTTAACAATTCATGAAAATCACTCACATCTCTTATTTGATACAACAGCATTCTGTGATAGGCTGGGTGAAACATGACCCTTTTCCCTTTTTTTTAAAAAAGTTTCACATATAGCCAATGACTAGAATCCTGGCAATTGATCTTTTTTCTTTCTTTCTTTCTTTTTTTGGCTGCACCACTTGACATTTGAGATCCTAGTTCCCCAACCAGGGATCTAATTCAGATATCTCCTTAATTATTTATTGAAAGAACAGGCAAATCCCTATGTACCAAATTACACAGTTAACTGAACCTCAAATGTATCATCCATGGATTAAGATAGCAACATACCCCTTACAGAATTGTCATGGTGATTGAGATGTCATATCTGTATACATATATAAACGTGTGACTCTTCTATAGTGCCTAGCACAGAATAAACGAAATTATAAAATTTTTAAATGCTGAATATGAAATTGCACACCAAATTGTTTATAATTCTTAACAGTATATCTCAATGTGCAAGAACAGGTAGGAAAGGCTATTGTACATTTTATTTTCAGAGGTTGTAATCACTGTCAGCTTCTAATTTTCATATAACTTTCTGGAAGTAACTGCCTCTGACTACAAGTCAGAAAAACACTTTTTGTTGTGAATATAAAACAGTCTTTGTAATGGCATCTGCAGATAAAAAGGTGCTTATTATTAAGAAAAAGAAATAAGAAGGCTGGGCAATCCATGGCTGTTTTTGTATGGCCCCCAAGCTAAGAATGATCATTAGGGGGCCATTAAAATGAAAAGACAGATAAATTGCGGCAGAGACTGAATGTGGCCGTCAGAGCCTAACACCTTCCGCCTAGCGTTCTATGGGAAGATTGCTGACTGCTGGGATATAGCATGCCTTTCAAGAAAATAGTTATTAGAGGCAGAGCAGTTTCTTGAGAATTCTGTCTTGACGATAATAAAATATATCTCTGAAATAAACAGGTGGTAGGATATATTGGAAGCAAAACCTTCCATAAGCCTGTAGCATGCTGTGGTTATATTCCTTTACTATATTTTAAGATTGTGTGTATTAGTAATTTTAACCTCACAAAATTCCCTGAGGCCAGAGAATTGAGCTGTACTTACATTTGTAGATCTGCTAAAAGCTCAGAAAAAACTCTTACATCACTTCCTTACACTTGATAAACGACAACTGATTTGATCTCTCTTAATAGCACACTTCCGCATTTTTCATACGTACAGTTGTCTCGGTTCATAGCAGTTTTATGAACCCAGACAAGAGGTAACTAAGTGGCCAGGATCAGAACCCAGGCCTTGTGACTCTGGTACTGTTTTTGCCCTGCTGGGAAACCTGTGTGTAAGACTGTGGTTGGACAGTGCCGCCTGGGAAATTCAGCTTAGGACATTCCTGCCATCTTGGTTGGTTCCACTAACACAGGGCCATTTCTGGAAAATAGCAAAGATAGAATGGAGAAACTTAACAGTATGAAAGAGAGTAGAAAGTATCATTCCTCTTTTTGTTTTTTCCACACAAAAAGCACTTTCTCTTTCGAAGACCTAGAATTTCAGCAAGTTTTCTCTTTTGAACAGAAGTTAGTTGGCTCAGACTGTGGCAGTAGGGCAACTTGAAAGAAAATGAACTTTGCCATCAGATAGACCGGGGTTCAACCTCCAGCTCTGGGGACTTTCTGGCAGTCCAGTGGTTAAGCCTCCTTGCTTCCAGTGCAGGGGATACAGGTTTGACCCCTGGTTGGGGAACTGAGATCCCATATGCCGTGCAGCGTGGCCCAAAAGAAAACAAAACAAAGCAAAAGCTCCAGCTCTGCCACTTCCTAGTGTGTGTTGTCCTTGGGCATCATTTGGCTTAGGTAGAAAATGGAGCGACTTATCCCAACCAGGTTTTCTTTTTTTTTTTTTTGAGGGAAACAGAAAAATACACTCTGGTTGAAATGAGGTTAGCATACTACCTTTTCCTTTCTCTCTGGATCTCAGATGAACTATTTTCTTTGTTACACATTTCCGCATCATAATTGGGTTGTTAGTGAGGACGAAATATTGGTTTTTATACTGCCTTGACGCATGTAACCATAAGTAAATTACTAACAGCTGTTGTACGCATTTGCTATATATGTCCTTAAGATTCCATTTGTACTTAAGCAGTTCTGACTGTAATTAAAATGCCACTAAGGTATTTTTCAGTGGACAGTGACTATCAAAACTGAAAGCCAAGGCACAAGAGAAAAAGATCTTCGCAGGCTTTAGTCCATAATAAGGATTCTTTGTTTGTCATTATTTTTATTTACCTAGTTCTTATAGGAAGTAGGTTTACACCACTACCACAAAGGTTGAGAATTACTGGTTTAGCATCTAATCATTAACTAATAAATAGAAAATTAAAGTGCAGAAAATAAATTTTTTTATGATACTCGGTGAAAAAATGCTAGGTTTGTTGTTCAGTGGCTCAGTCATGTCTGACTCTTTGCGACCCCAGGGATGCAGCATGCCAGGCTTCTCTGTCCATCACCGATCCCGGAGCTTGCTCAAACTCGTGTCCATCAAGTCAGTGATGCCATCCAACCATCTCGTCCTCTGTCTCTCTCTTCTCCTCCTGCCTTCTATCTTTCCTAGCATCAGGGTCTTTTCCAATGAGTCAACTCTTCACATGAGATGGCCAAAGTACTGGAGTTTCAGCTTCAGCATCAGTCCTTCCAGTGAACACCCAGGACTGATCTCCTTTGGGAAGGACTGGTTGGATCTCCTTGCAGCCCAAGGGACTCTCAAGAGTCTTCTCCAACACCACAGTTCAAAAGCATCAATTCGTCAGCACTCAACCTTCTTTATGGTTCAACTCACACGTCCATACATGAATACTAAGTTACAGAGTAAAAATAGTACACTGAATAAGATTCTCATTTTCCACATTTGTTATTATTATCTGGCTTTTTATTATTTGTGTGAGCTTTTACTGAAAAGTAAAAGTCAACTGAAAGCTGACTTTTTAAAGGTACGTTTTATTTTTCAGGCCTATGATAGGTCCTGCTCTACCACCTGGTTTTCTTAAATCTACACAGAAAAGTGACAAAAGCAGAAGTGATCCAGGACAAGTGTCATCATATTTCAACTCTGAGGTTTGGGGATTTTTCTATTAAAGAACAAGATGTAAGAAACCAAGACCTTACATAGTAATAACTATAATCATTTGACTCAAATGTAATGTAAGATGTGTCATAGTCATACTAATTTAGGATTACAGCATAGGTAGACAAAATCTAAAGCTGTCACAGACCTGAGATTCTGTTAGGAAAATAACAAGGCAGTCATGAGTTGACAGGGTGTGACCTATTCATGCTTCTCATCCTTGAAAGGAAGCTTTTAAGTCCTGGAAAGTAGAATACGGTGAACAGTTTAAAGAATTGTTGTGATTTGATGCAAAAGAGAGCAAGCTAAGAAATGTTTAAATAGTGAGATGATTATTATAAAATATTGAAATTAACTTTGTCCCACCCAGTTCTGGTACCATTATTTAACAGGGTCACTCGTGGGTACATGATGTTTTGAAAAGAAAGAGCAGGTGATTCTGGAATCAAGGAGGAAGTCTGTTTTCTTTATTAGTGAGCTAGTCCTTAACAATCGCTGAGATTTGAAGAATATAATTTGTAATGCATTTTCTCCATATATGGATACTGTTTTCAGCTTCTCCAAAGCCTTGTGAAATAATTATGATCTGTATCTTAGAGATGCTAAAAGCCAGAGACAGTGGGTAACTTACTCCAAATAGCACAGTTTCTACTTAGCAAAGTCAAAACTCCGAACCCAGTTCTTGGGACTTTGAATCACTGCTCAGCCTGCTGCTCTGCTGAGCCTTCCTGTATGTGAATTCATAGACTGCTGTGCGTCTCCACTGAGAATTCATCAGTCCCACACAGGCGGTTACTGAAGGAAATAGAATTCGGTGCTTAAGCTCATGAACGCCAGCGTTTGCTCATTTTCTCAGTGAATGATATAGGATGCCCACAAATGATTATAGAATGCCTAAGTGTGTCAGGCACTTAGTCACGGAAATCAATCTGACAACAAATTCTGTCCCCGCCTTCCAAAACGTCCAGAATCCAGCCACTTCTGCCACCACCCTGACTCGAGCCAGCATCCTATTTCACCTGTGTTATTGTTGGTCTTCATGTCTTAGCCCTTTTTGCTACCTTTTCTCAACATAGCAACTAGAGTGGCCCAGATAAAGACAGATCATGTCAGTCATGCTGAAAACTACTTTGCTGCTCCCCTCTCTGCATAAAAGCCAGAGTCCTCACAGGGCCCTGTACAGTCTGTCTTCCATTAACTCCCTGGTTTCTTCTTTCTTTGACCTGACCACACTGGGCTTCTTGCTCCTTAAATATGCCAGGCACGCTGCTACCCCTGAGCCTCGGTACCTTCTGTCCACATCTCCCCCAGATATTTATGTGGCTGGCTTGCCACCAGCTATAGCACTTTTAGCTGCTAGTAAGAGAAAGTCCAACCCACAGTGAAGCTTAGTCTCACCTTCTTAGTTAGCAGATGGGTTGTTTGTTTAACTTCCTGAATGATCTATAATCTGTATTCCCAAATTAAGGAAAAGTGTTTCATACCTAAGATGAGGTCTAGAGATAGGGTCATTCCACGGTTGGTTAACTTAATAGCCTCACGAGGTCACCCGGGACCCTGGTTTTGTATGTCTTCTCTGTCACTTGCAGTATGTTAATTCCTCTTAGGCTGACCCCTTCCTTATACCAGGAAGCCTGCCAGAGCCCTAAGATCCACATGCAGGTGGCGGTGTCCAGACACAGAAATGAACCCTGTCTTGTTCGCCTTTTTAGGGGGAGGGAACCTCTCCGGGTTTCCCATAGACCTCTCCTCAGATTTCTGTGCCCCATGCAGAATCATATGCCCATGCTCAAGCCAATCAGTTGGGCAGGAGGAGTGAAACCAAAGTGATTGGTTTAGAATTATCAGCATTTTCCCCAGAAATTAGAGAAGGCTTTAGTTTCCTGAAAAGAGCATGATTCCAACCAGGATGAACAAAACACTGGGTTCTCTTAGCAGTAGTTATTGGTTGGAGCTGTTACAGTCCCTACAAATTTCAGGCCTCTACCTTTATAAAACTATCTCTTATTAGAAGGAAGTGTGTGCTCGCTTCGGCAGACATGTACTAAAATAGAAGGAAGTGTAAATATCATTAGCTTATCCCATCATCCTAAATGTCAACACTCTATTGATATCACGTTTCTTGTAATTTTTAAAGTTTATTATATCTTTTACATCTGCTCGTTTTATGTCACCAAGTATTATGTTTGTAGGGGGCTATAAATATGTTTAAGATAATGTCTTTGCCATCAAAGAGCTTACTGTTGCTGAGAAAAGCTAAAACATTTAAAGTTAAATCATTAGCAGTTGAAATAAAGGAAATAATAGTCTGCTGTAGTGTAAGTAGAAAAAATACTGGCTTTGATCTTAAAACATTTAAGTCTTAGGTACATGTTTTATAACCTCAGACAAGTTGTTTAATCTTTCCAAGTGTATTTCCCTAAACCTAGGTTTCCTCAAAAAGAAAACAGGAATAATAATGCTATTTCCCGGTTTTATTATGAGGTTCAAATCAGACAAAGTACAGTTACTGAGAGAGAGAGAGTGTGACTTAGAATCAGCCACAAGACAAGATGTAATTATCTAGTTATTTGTGCTGAGAACAATTGCTATAAAGGTTCAGAGAAGAAACCACAGAGAGTTACCATCAAGTGGTTAACAGGGAAAGTGTAAACAACACAAATTAAGTCGCCTGATCCTGGTAGTTGAAAAAATAAGAGGAAGAAACTACCTGTCACAGCTGGAGTACAAACATCTTATTGTTGTTCATCGTTGTTTATCTTATTCTCTCTCCTCGAGATCAAGGACTATTTTAAACCCTAGTGTATATAGCATCTAACACAGAGTCTTACATGAAAGCCTTTATTAAAATGATTTACCAACAATAATTTGAATCCAATTTTTGCAGTAATACTGTATCCCTAGAGTAATTTGGGCACCAAATTCACTCGTTTGGGCCAGCCTTTTGGAAGGTATTGCACAGCATTTCTGTTCCAGTGGACTGTACTAAATCATGAAGGCTAATATAGCTTCCAAGAATGTCTTATTCATGTGTTTCTTCCAAAGAGCTCTTTCTGAGCCAGGAAAGAGAATGGTTTCAACTCTGTCTTCCCTGACCACTTCCCTGGAGTATTATAGAGGAATTGTGAGGCCACATCTGTGTCCATCAGGAATAGAGCTGAAGTGAGTTAATGAGCTCTGCCGTGGACACAGGGGACGAGGCAGGACAGACCTCACGCCCTGGATTTGTGATCTCTGGTACTTGACGAAGGCACAGGAAAGGTGCTCAGTGATTAGCCAGTAACACAGTGCTTGCTCTTTCGTTCTGTTTCTAGGTTATCGGTCTCAGTTAAATTTTGAGTAATTTAGGATCATTTTCTATGTGTTGCTCCACTCTTGGTTTAAAGGTCCTGTCTTGTTTCAGAAGGAAACGGATAGCAGTGAGGAGGAAGACATTGTCGGGCCAATGCCTGCCAAAGGACCAGTTAACTCCAGTGTAACAGCAGAGTTTGAAAAGAGGGCCCAGAGAATGAAAGAAAAACTGACTAAAGGAGACGACGTAAGTTTCAAATACACAGTACACTTTATTCTGAGAAATCGACCAGATAGATCAGAAATCTCAGTTTTGATAACAGACACTTAAAAAATGTCCTTTTTCATGTGTATGTATATAAAAATTTGGTCTCTAGGGTAACTCAGAAGCCATAAAAGGAGAAAACTGACAAATTTGCCCAATTAAAAATGATGGTATGGCAAAAGATAACATTAAGTCCAAAGAACAATAAATTAGATGAAAGTATTTATAACATATATGACAAGAAAAATCAGCCATCTATTAAATCCTTTCCTCTTCAGTTCAGTTCAGTTGCTCAGTCATGTCGGACTCTTTGCAACCCCATGGACTGTAGCACGCAAGGTTTCCCTGTCCATCACCAACTCCCAGAGCTTGCTCAAACTCATGTCCTTTGAGTCGGTGATGCCATCCAACCATCTCATCCTCTGTCATCCTCTTCTCCTTCTGCTTCTGCCTTCAGCCTTTTCCAGCATCAGAGTCTTTTCCAAGGAGTCAATTCTTCACATCAGGTGGCCATAGTATTGGAGCTTCAGCTTCAACATCAGTCCTTCCGATGAATATTCAGGACTGATCTCCTTTAGGATGGACTGGTCGGATCTCCTTGCAGTCCAAGGGACTCTCAAGAGTCTTCTCCAACACCACAGTTCAAAAGCATCAATTCTTCGGCGCTCAGCTTTCTTTATAGTCCAACTCTCACATCCATACATGACCACTGGAAAAACCACAGCTTTGATTAGACGGGCCTTTGTCTTTCTCTTAATGTCTCTTCCTCTTAACATCTGCCTCAGTTGAGAAGCATAGTCACTTAGGTAGTATTCTACACATATATGCATAAATGTCCACACTTTCCAGGCTACTTTTTTTTTGTTTAACTTTTTATTTCTCTCAAAGGATTCATCTAAACCAATTACGAGAGAGTCTTGGATGACTGAACTTCCTCCAGAAATGAAAGACTTTGGTCTCGGGCCCAGAACTTTCAAGAGAAGAGCTGATGGCAAATCTGGAGACCGATCAGTCTGGACCGACACTCCAGCCGACAGGGAAAGGAAAGCTAAGGTGAGAGGGCTTGTGCGTTCCTGTATTTCTGTCATGTTGGCTCTATTTTGAAAAAAATAGAAAGCAGAATTATTGCAGGGTACAATTTCTTAGCTTATGAAAGGAAAGTTATAAGAAAAGAAAGCGGCACCAATTGCTTCCTGTGTATTCACTTATACTGATACTGTTTCCCAACAAATTTGTCTCATTAAACCTCAAGAGAACCTGGAGACATAAGTTTATTAACCTCATTTTATGAAAGGAGACACTGTCCCCTATGAGGTCATTTTTTTCTGGAATTTAATGCTGGCAAGTGATGAACAGTAATTCCATCCTCGACCTTTCTGATTCCAAATCCCCCAGTCTTTATACGTCATACTGTCTCCATGGAAGTTTCTTTCAGAATATCTTGGAAAAAACCAAGGCACAGATTAACCTAGCAAGTTAAGTGATAGATAGTGACTGTCTCTGAAAATAACAGTAGCTCCATTGCACTAAACTTCACATTACTGTCAAGATAGGCAAAAAAGCCTTTTCCTTAATACATTGAATAATTTACCAGAAAAAGCAAAAGCTATGCATAAAATATATCATTATTATTAGATTTTCTTTTCTTGGATTTCTACACTTATGAAATATTCCATTGTCAAGAATCCAACCAGTACTAACTCCTTAAATTCACTTCATCAGAGATTCCAATTTCCTTGAGTTGTGAATGCTACCTTAAATGCTTGACTAATTGGCGCCTTATGATTATAATTTATCAGTTCTAAATTAAACAGTTCCTTACTTAATCCATACCCCTAACTCTGTCTTGTTCATTAGTACCTAGAATTATGAAGATTTCTATTTTCACTCTATAACCAAAAATTGAATGTCTCCTCCGGCAAACATCATGTTTGGTCACAGGTGACAGAAAAAGCTCCTTAAGACACTTTGATTTTCATGAAGAATTGGTTGTGAAATAGTGTTGTTCTTAAAATGTGGATGGTATGTGGAAAACGCCTCATTTTAGCAGAATATGTGGCAAAGCCATAAGTTCTCTTGTCCTGAAGATTCAAGGAAATCCAAGAGTTACAATAGAAAGGTGAGATGAACCAACACACCTGGGGGCAGAAGAGGCGACAGAAGGTGGGGTATAGAGGTGAGCCACACCCCACAGCCTCACTTCTGGGCATATACCCTGAGGAAACCGTAATTGAAAAAGACAGCAGTGTTCACTACAGCACTGTTTACAATAGCTAAGACATGGAAGTAACCTTGATGTTCATCGACAGATGATAAATGGATACAGAATTTGTGGTGTTAATACATATATATAATGGAATGTTACTCAGCCATAGAAAGGAATGCACTTGAGTCAGTTCTAATGAAGTGGATGAACGTAGAGCCTGTTACACAGTGAAGTAAGTCAGAAAGAGAGAGATTAATATCATGTATTAACACATGCATACGGAATCTAGAAAGATGGTACTGATGAACCCATCTGCAGGGCAGCAGTGGAGACGCAGACAGAACAGGCTTGTGGACACTGTGGGGGAAGGGGAGCGTGAGACAAATGGAGAGCATAGCATGGAACGTACATTACCACGTGTAAAATAGAGAGCCGGTCAGAATTTGCTGTATGACGCAGGGGACTCAGACTGGGGCCCTGTGACCACCTGGGGGCGGGGGGGGGGGGGGGCAGGTGCAGGAGGGAGGGGGCACATGTAGACCTGTGGCTGAGTCATGCTGATATATGACAGAAACCAACACAACGTGGTGAAGCAATTATCCTCCAATTAATAAATACCTTTAAAAAATTAAAGGATGTGAGCCACACACTGTGAATGACTAGTGTTGGAATGCCTGTCTGCTCTTTCTTAACTGGTCTTTTATAAAAATAACCTACTGGCATTTTTATAATTTAGCCTTTAAGATTGTCTCCAAAAAGACAACTTAATACCCTTGCTTACATGGATTTTTTTTTAATATTTATTTATTTGGCTTATTCAGGTCTTAATTTCCGCATGGAGAATCTTCCACTGTGGCATGTGGAATCTTTCATTGCAGCACACAGACTCTCCAGTTGTAGCGTGCAGGCTCAGCTGCCCTGTGGCCTATGGAATCTTAATTCCCTGACCAGGGATCAAACCTGTGTCCCCTGCATTGCAAGGCAGATTCTTGACCACCAGGAAAATCCCTTACGTGGATTTTTTATTTGTGCTTTTTTCAGACCTCCTGCTCCTCATTGTGTGTGAGTAGATGTCTAGCCTGCAGCTAGATATGCAAGAAGTCTTCCTCAAAGAAAAATAACACAGAAAAATTGAACGAAGAGAAAGTAACCAGTACTGTTTGAACTTAAGATTTTAGATCCTGTGATTGAGTTCTTTAGATCCAGTCATTCTTTTTACAGCTAAAAGTGTTTTGTTGTTTATTTGCAACAGACTCACAAAGGGATTATTAATACCCCTTAAATCTTATGTGGTACTATATCACAGCATGTAATACCGCAGACATATTTGTGGTAGAATTTATCACAGAAAGTATCATAGAGCTGTCCTTGATAAAGATCATGACTAATTTTTTATTTTTATAACAGATCTTAATCAAGTTTCCTTTTTTTCTCTCTTTCCAAATATCCTTTTTGTATGTTTTTTCCATCATTTCCCCTTTTTTTTAAACTTATTGTCTTTTTATATTTGATTCCCCAACATTCATCTCCCTACCACTAATGCCAACATGGCCTAAATGAAGTAAGATTAGAAAGAAATGAAAGTGTTATGTATAAACTAATTGAATAAGATCTGTTATGATCTTGCCTCCCAGTCTTGACTAGATTTACTAACTCTTAGATGGTCAGGTTTTCACCTCCATCTTATCAGAACATCATTTTTCTCTTAATATTACAAGTAAAGAATCTGTTTCTGGGAAAATTGTTATGGAAAAATAAGAAATGAGCTACTCCTATGTTATGGTTTTTAGCATACTTTATTAAGTACAGTGTTGTTTTAGTCCATTATTTAGATAAAAATTGCGGTCCTCTTTGACTTTATCTTAAGGAAATAGCAACAGTATAAAAACATGCTTTGAGAAAAATAGTTTTCAGTTTTTGTCTGAGCCTTAGTCATTCCTGGCTGGGGCTGTATTCTCCAGAATATTTTTTTTTTCTAACAACTGAAAGTTATTGGAAATTTACCTAAGTATTTCATCAGTGTGTTATAGTAAATGGTATATCTTTTTAAATTTCAAATTCTAATTGTTCGTTGCTGCTATGTTTTGTCTGTTGGCCTGGTGTCCTGCAGCTTTGCTCCGCATCTGTGTGTGCTCAGTCGTGTCTAGCTCTTTGCAACCCCATGGTCAGTAGCCCATTGAGCGCCTCTGTCCATGGGATTCTCCAGGCAAGAATACAGAGTGGGTTGCCCTTTCCTTCTCCAGGGGATCTTCCTGACCCAGGGATCAAATCCACATTTCCTCTGTCTCTGGCGTCAGCAGGCGGATTCCTTAGCACTGAGCCAGCTGGGAAGCCCCAGCTTTGCTGTGCTTGCTTGTTAATGCCGCTGCTGCTGCTGCTAAGCCACTTCAGCCGTGTGAATGCTGAGTTGTTTAATAGATCTGTGGGGTTTTCTACACTGACACTCGTATGTCTTCTGTGAATAAAGATAGTTTTAGTTTTCTATGTCCCTTTTGTTTCTTTCTCTTTTATTTTTTTCCCTCAAGAGTGCTTTTCCTGGTTTTGAAAACAGTAATGTAAGATTTCTTCTTAAGCCTTATTTTCTCTTCTGCATTTTATTACAGTTTGTCAGACTCATCTCTGAGTTTGATAAAATCCAGTTAGTTGATTGGATGGAGGTTTTGTGGGCTCTTTTTGTTGTTTTCAGGAAAATGTTAGAGTAGGAGACTAACAGATCCCTTGCCAAGAACATTAACATTTCTAGTGGGAAGAGAATCAACAGGCCTGGCCTTGTCTAGTCTCCTGTTACTCAATCTGAATTAAAATAATAGTATTTCTTGTTCATTTTTTCCTGATAATGTGGTTCCATAATGTGTTATCTGTTCATTCCTCAGGAGATGCAAGAAGCAAGAAAGTCATTCAGTAAGAAGGATGAAGAATATATACTGTCAGGAAGGGATAAGAGATTGGCTGAGCAAGTCTCCTCATACAATGTAAGTCAGAGAATAAAATGCATAACCTTTCTTTTTTTTTTTTTACATCTTTTAATGCTCTTCTCATTTTTTTCTCTTTTTCTTGTTTCTCTTTCTTTTATATGTTTTTCTTTTCATCTCAGTCTTTTTCTATACATCTGTTCTGAAATATACTCTTGTGTGTACATATATATATATACACATATATGTATAATCCTCATGTTGTGGGCTTTTTTAATGCATCTCAATATTTTCAGTTCTTTTTTTTTAGTTATATATATATTTTTTAATTTATTTATTTTAATTGGAGGCTAATTACTTTACAATATTGTAGTGGTTTTGCCATACACTGACTTGAATCCTCCATGGGTGTACATGTGTCCCCATCCTGAACCGCCCCCCCCCACCTCCCTCCCCATCCCATCCCTCTGGGTCATCCCAGTGCACCAGCCCTGAGCACCCTGTCTCATGCATTAAACCTGGACTGGCGATTTGTTACACATATGATAATTTACATGTTTCAGTGCCATTCTTCCAAATCATCCCACCCCAGTTCATTTTTTACTTGAATCATATATCAGAAATTCAATTCCTGGAGATGGGTAGCACATGATCAGAAAGTAAGAGCCCTATTAACTCCTAGAGATACCAATTCATACATTTCTAAATAGAAGTCAATTTAGAATATTTGATGTAAAGATTTAAATAAAAGTATGAAACTTTAAAATACAGTTCAATTTAAACTTGAAAACAGTCAGGATTCATTGGGCAAATTATTATTTTTGTAATTGTCTTTTACTCATTTCAAAAAAACCTGATATTTCACTCAGAGAATAAATAAACCACTGAACCCTTCAGCTCCTGAAAGGTATTCAGGTGTTTAGGAAAATTACCTTCTGTTCCCAGTGCATTAGTTTATGAAAAGTTCTATAAGCATTAAAAACTTTTGCTGACTAGCAAAGTTTTCACAGACTTAAGAGTGCTTCACTCACAGTAGCCTTAAAAAGACTTCTGTAGGAATCTTCACAGGAGCTTTATTTATAACAGCTAATTTCTTTGATAAGCCCAGGTATCTACCAGTAAGCAGGGGGTGAGGGGGGGTGTATATGATGAAATACTACTTGGGAATTAAAAGGAAAATTACAACTAAATGCAACATTGTGGATTAATCTCAAAGTCGTTATGCTGAGTGCAGGGAGTCGTACCCAAGATTTCACACACATGAACCACTGTATGATTCCATTTATATGAAGCTCCACAATAAGCAAAATGTGTCTGTGGTGGGAAAAAATCAGAATAGTTGTTGTTGGAGTGGGAGTGTGGAGCTGGATGAGAAAGGAACATGCAGAGCTTCCTGAAGTGATGGAAATACGTTCCACATATTGCTAGGAGTTCAAATTGTAAAGCTCAGTGAATGTAGTCTTAAGATTTGCACATTTCATTGTATGTAAATTTACTTTAAAAGAAAACAGTGTAAACAAATACAGAATATGTAGTGATGTCTGCAATTTACTTTAAAATGCTTCCAAAAAATTAGGGTCTGAGTCTTATGGTGAAATTTTGGTTACTTACGAGACCTACTTTTAAAAATATTAATATGGTTTTCAGACTGAACCACCTCCTAGTATTGATAAATTCAGCAATCTTTATAAAATATGATCATGAAGGCAGAAGAGTCTGACCCGACTGAGTGACTAAGCACACGAAGGCAAAAGAAAAACCAAACAATTAGAATCTTAGCATGGATTTTCTAAAGCTTCTGAGAAACTATCACATTCAAAATTAATTGCCCTAGTTTTTTACAAATTAGTATAAAACATACACGTTTTGTTAAATTATTAAATTTGGTAAATCAGCAAACTGGTCTTTTGGCAAACTGGTCTCACATGAGTTGGCTTTTGGTGTGATTTTCTGTGAACTAACTGCTTCTGGGTGTTTTTACTACTAACTTATAAGTTCTGTCCCCTGCATCAGTCACAGTGTGCAAATAGTGCTAAACGAGGTAGACGGCACACCTGAAACAAACTGATGTCACAGTTATTTCCTTTATCATAACAGTCCACTTGAATTGTGTGATTTGACTATAATAGTCTAGTGGTTTAATGTATTCCTCTGTCTGTCTTGGTGTTCAGTTTACCACTTTAGGGGATCAGTCAGTGGAAACGGACCATTTTTTTTTCTCCATTTGTGTTCACTTTTTGTTACCTTCTACAGTTTCGCCCATCAGTGTAGGCCATTTTCCTCAGCACCAGCTCTAGGAAGGACAAGCAGGACTTCTACAGCTTCTCACAGTTTCTCCAAACTCTGCTGTCTGTTTCCTCCAGCTCTTTCTTAAATCTTCAGCCTTTCCCTTCTGATCTTAATAGCCTGTCTGCCTTCATCCTTATTGTCTCATTAGTGAATTATTATCTCAGTGGAAGAAGGGAGGGAAAATGTGGAGAAATTGCACTAAAAGATTAAATTTTACAGTATAAATGTTTTACATTTATATGTACACATATAATTATGTTTATTCTCCATTATAGTTCTCCATCCTCAGATTAACCCTACTCCTGTGCTATCCATCCTGTTCCCCCCTCTGTTAATACCAAACTACCAGACAGAACCATCTGTCTTACGGGACACCTGTGTGAGAAGCTGGCAGACTTTAACAGCACAGGTTCCTGAGACCCACTGTGGGCAGTTGTGATTCACTGGATCTCTCATGGGGCTCAGGAGTCTCTTTTTCTTTTCAATCAGTCAAGGGTGGAGAAAGATAGTCTTTCAAGTATTTTTACTCAGTATTTACAGAGTATTATACCCTCAAAAAACTTCTCCTGGACATCCAAAAATAGTTTGGATGTCATTATAAGTTTTGATAGTTAGCAGACATACAATTTATAGCTTGTTTTATTATTCTTTTCAGTGTTTCAAATGATATCTAAATGCCTTAGCAACTTATTATCTATTAATATCCTTTAAAAATATGTATGAACAAGCTCTTCCTTAACAGTTGGAAATTTTATTTCACCCTTTTTTCTCCTTGAATACTTAATTTCATTTCTCTTATGCCACAAATTTTATCTTAATGGAATTCACTTTTACGCTTGAAAGTCTTCTATGATTAGACGTGATAAGTCATATTTCACTTCAGCAAATCTATGCACATAAATTGAAACCAAAAGGTTTTAATTTCCTATATCTAAAGTCTTTAAATGTTTACACTTTTCTTTCCTTTTGGATTAAGTTGTAAATTCAGTTGATCAAAATAATATAAACATATCTCAGATTTTGATAATTATTAAATGTCAAAAGTAAAATGTAAACTTAATATCTTAATGAAAGACCTTTTTTCCAGTTACTTTCTGGTCTTTTGATGAATGTTACTGCTAGAATAAGACAGATTTCAACATCAAATATGGTCTTTTGTTTGTTCATTTTTATAGTTAAGAGTCTTATGGTTAAGAGTTAGGAAACCATGTTCACATAAAGCAGTGGGTAAGAATGGAACACAGTTCATTATCATGATGTCATTCAGTTCTTTAAACAGTTTCTATTTATTTACTTAAACCTCAGAATGATCTATTAACAAAAAATTATTATTAATGTCTCCCCACTTTCACTCTGTCTCAACTTTGATTTTTTTTTTTCACATTGGTCCCTTTTTTTTTTTTTTTTTTGCAATTTGAACGGTTTGACATTTAGTGACTTCTCAGCTGAGGGCTGTTTCCATCTTTTTCCAAAGGGTACAAGCTGGCAGCATTGCCACCCTACTGGATACTGAAAGGCAGGGCGAACAGGGAGAGGAAGGATTGTAGTACCCTGACTCTGAAGCCCCCCGAACAGGGTTTATTTCTCAGCCTCACGTTCCAAATCTGTATAATGGGAATAATAACATTTAATGCATATTGATTATAAATTTAGATCTTGTCCAGATTATAATATAGTAAATACTCAGTAAATTGAATACTTAACATTTATTGACTGATTCTTATGTACTCTGATATACTAAATCCTTTGTATTCCTTAGATGACGTAATTCCTACCTCATCCAAATATTTCGACATTATTACTACCAGGATTTATTATTTTACAGCTGAGAAACTTAGGCATAAATTTCTTGCCTGTGATCAACACGTGTTGAAACTGTCAACACCATCATTGCTACTCTGCTTTTTCCCAATTCAGCACTTATGTTCTTAACTGTTTCTCTATGCTATGTGTATTGATAGGTTATTTTTTCTTAGCAATATTTGATTCTTTTTACCTCCAATTTCATTAAAAATAAAGGTTTAGAAAGCACTTAACTTGCAAATCTGTTTGTTTCCTAAAGATGTATGAAATGACCAACTTACATGAGAGGGATTGAGAAGTTGGAGATAGTGCTAATTTAAATAAATACTTACTATTACAGCATCCAGCTAGAGCTCAATTTATAGGAAATAACAGCCACAACCTAGTTGACAAAGTCAGATCTCATTGTCAGGTCAGACAAGTGAGACTGACTTTCTGTGAAAATGTCTGACTTCATTTCTCTGTTCAAATAAATATGATTATGATCATTTCTATGACACTTCTGAATTGTACCGTAGGCAGGTAGTTGCCATAAATTTGTCTTCTGATGAAATAAGATGCTGCCACCTTCAACATTTCTTACCAGTTATTTTGCCTTCTTCATGTCTTTGCTCTCAAATACATTCTCTGACAGGAGACAGGGTCTGGAGGAGATGAGGTTGTTAAGCAAAACTTGCCCTGTCTTTCATTGTCCCATTCTGCAATGTATCTGAATTCAGAAACATTCCAACAACAGCAGAAATACCATTCCAAAAGGATATCACACTCTTTTAAGAGAAATTATGTTTGAGACACAAAAGAGCACAAAGCCTCCTGGGTTTACAGTTCCTTGATTAGAACTTTCGTTCATACCACTATTGCCAGTGTTGTAATTTGATGCTCTGGAGCCTTGCTCCCCAAGACAGTGTTCTCTAAAGATTCCGAAAGGCCTCTCCTTCATTAAATGTAGAAGGGCTGTAATAAAAGGGTAGACATCCTCACAAGATGCATTATCAGGCGAGTCCGTTTCAAGTGAGGCTACGTGAAGCAGCTGAGAATCATGGGTAGAGAGCATTGAAATCCCCCGTGTCAATACCCCTTGGAATCCGCTCTGTGTGGCCCCCAGGGACGGACACACACACACACACACACACACACACTGCAGACTGTACTGCCTGCACCTACTCGCACATCTCACACCCTGCTCCTACAATCCAGGGCTATTCTGTCTTGTCCGTTAACTAATACTGAAAGGTCTGTGATGAATCTCTTAATTTATAAAACCAGTTGCCTCTGCTCAAACCTCTGGATATCCTCCTAGATATATTTGAAAATGTGAAACTAATATCATACTGTAAATCAGCTGTGCTTCAATTTTTTTGAAAAAGAAAATATGAGCACCTACCCCAGCTGAAAAGAAAGAAAATGAGGGTGATAAGGGAAGCTGAAAGGGACAGAAATTCTCTTGGCACACAGCCTATGCCAGGACCATGCAGACTTTACCTGCACCAGCCTTGGATTTTGTCATCTCTGTGCTGTTGTTTTTCTGCTTTGAGCATGCTTTCGCTTCAGCCTGGTGGTGCCTATCTTTTCCATTCCACCTACAAAGGCTTCGTGGACCAGCGCATCCGTGAAGCTTTAATCAGGCTCCCAAGAGAGAAAGTAATTGCTCCTTTCTCTCCCATTAACACTGACTCATCATACAATGCTTTGCATGATGGTTATTTAAACATTAGTTTCATGTCCGTCTTTTTCTTTTTTGATCATGTGGCATGAGTTCATAGATACCTTTATTTTGGTTGAATTGAATTTGCCTCTGATACATATTTTCTTCAGAGATGCTGTCTTGGATTTGCAAAAACCATTGAGGGACTTCCTTGGTGGTCCAGGGGTTAAGAATCCACCTGCCAATGCAGAGGACATGGGTTCAGTCCTTGGCCCAGGAAGATGCTGCAGGCCGCAGAGCAACTAAGCCTGTGCTACTGAACCCAAGCTCCAGAGCCGAGAGCCACAACTCCTGCAGCCCGTATGCTGGAGCCGGTGATCTGCAACAGGAGAAGCCACTTCAGTGAGACGCCCTCACAGTGCGAGTCGGGAGTAGCCCCCGCTCGCCGCAACTGGAGAAAGTCCTCTTGCAGTGAAGAAGACCCAGCACAGCCAAAAATAAATAATTTTTTTTTAAGTATTAAAAAAGAAAGGGACTTCCCTGGTGGTGCCGGGGCTGAGGCTTCGTGCTCCCCATGCAGGGGGCCTGGCTTCAATCCCTGATCGGGGAACTAGACCCCACATGCCGCAACTAATACCCAGCACAGCCAAATAAATAAAAATAATAATTTTTTTTTTTAAAGAAGAGAAACAATTGGGGTTTGTAAATAGCCCTCCTTAATGTTCACCATTACTACTTCATTTTTTGTTTCATGATTATTATATTCTGCCAATGACTATCCAAACTAAGATTTTTATTTCTGCCGTCTTGCTCTCCCCAGGAATCAAAAAGGTCAGAATCTCTTATGGACATTCATCATAAAAAATTAAAGAATAAAGCTGCTGAAGATAAAAATAAGCCCCAAGAGAGAATACCATTTGACCGTGATACAGATCTCAAAGTTCATCGATTTGATGAAGCTCAGAAAAAAGCCTTGATAAAGAAATCTAGAGAACTAAACAGCAGGTTTTCACATGGCAAAGGCAATATGTTTTTATAAGTAAGTATCTATCAGTAAGGTGTATTTTCATATTGATAAATTTTGAACTTTTTTTCTAAATACTATTACCTATAACTGTAAAAATTGAATCCCTTTTATAATAAAGTAGATTATAAACCTGCAGATTTTTTTTTTTCTAAATAACTGAATTTTGAAAATTCAGCCTTGTGGAATAAAAAATATGTTATCCTGGGAAAGTAGACTCGTCCTGATAATAACCTAACAGGGCATTACTATTCAGAATGCTGAAATAAAAGCTTTTCATTTGTGAGAAACGGGAAAGAAAAGTGTGATTTGAAGCTTGAGTAAATATGCATGCTTTATTAAAGAATGAGATTTCTTAGGTTATTAAATAAGATCACAGAAGATATTCATTGCTTTTAAAAGGTTCTGTGTAAGTTAAGGTTCAAAGCCATTACATCACCCATGCATAGCCCAAACTGACAAGGGTTCATAATGGTGATTGCATAAAAGCTAAGGTTGCTTCTTAAAATCTTTGTGATTTTTAATTGGATGAAGCCTATAGCAGTATTAAATGTGGCTTTAAGGGAAAATACTGTTGAGATGAGAATTATTTTCTGACTTACTGAATTTTCTTATTCTTACTTCAGGGGGGTTTCCCTGTGCAATGAAGAAGAGTTGAAGAATACCCCTTTTTTCTGTCTGTCCACCTTTATTCCTTTCTTTTGAGTTTCTTAAGATTAGAGGATGACTTTGGTCTAAAAAACCAAAAAGATTTACCTTGTTCTGTGCGTCCTTTAAAATCACGTGAAAACATAAAACCAGTGTGTCTTTTTAGAGGAGAATTTTATTTATGTGTCTTTGGCTTCTGAGGACATGTGGGCTTTTCTTCAAATAATCAGTTTTAGGATCCTCCCACCCACCCTCACAAGTGCTCCATGAGATCTGCTCAGGCTGATCGAGGGCGTCTCTCCCACAGCCCGAACCCCTATCAGATATCACCAGCCTGCCCTGAGAGACTGAGTGGGATCCTCCCAGCGCATCCATGAATTTGAAGCTGTTCTGGTTTCCCTCTAAACTGCAGTCAGTGAACAGACAACATTTACTTGAAAACAGAGGGTGTGAAGGTTTTTTCTATTTTGTTAGCAGTTTGCTTGTTTGGTCTGTCAGAGCTTTTTCTTTGTGGTTTGGGTTTTTTGGTTGGTTGGTTGGTTGGTGTCACAAAGAGGGACCTGTGCATGTGCTAAAGAAAAACCATTTTGATTTTTCCAACTTTAGTAAGTAATCCTAGAGGATGCCTTCAGAGGTCACACCATTAACTATTAGTGGTGTGAAGTCTGAGACGTGGTCTCTGTGTTCTTCACCGAAGCTTTGTAAGTCTTTAAACTGCCTCAGGATGATCTGACTTGGCTCATTTATATGTAACATGTTTTAGCTGATTCATTGTGGACAGATCTTTGCAATCAACCATGAATAACTTTTTTTAAAAAAATCAAGCTCATATTCCCCAGATACAAAAATGGAAACTAATCAAAGCCACCATGATGGAAGATGGTAAGCCTGTGATGCTTCAAGCACTGCCTCTGAAGATGTTAAATAGAAAATTCTCAACAGTTAAACCTAAACTCAAATTCTGGAAGTTATACTTTCTTACAGATTAGTCCCAATTGTTCTGCTAGTTCTGTGTTCTAGTTCTGATGACGCACATGGTTTTAATGGGAAAAGATTGAGTCCTAGTTCATTTAGGCATCATGAAAATTGAGTAAATTGTTCAGTCAGATTGTGGGCCAGATTTTTCTTCTTCTGACTATAGAACTACAATTATACCTTCCATAAGAGTAATCCACTCAAGAGTGTTACTGTTTAAAAGATGAACTTTTTTCTCCTAAGCAAATTGAAAAAGTTCCTAGTCTAAGCAGAATTGAACAGAGCTACCTTTTGACTGAAGGTCATTTTTAGTGGGTGATATTTTCTGAACACAGAACTTTGTAGAAGAGTATCTATTACTTTCACTGATTTTGCTATAATTTTTTTTCTTCTGATGAGATGTTTTTTAGGTCCTCATCCTCATGTAAATTCTAATACATACATATTTTTTTGAGAAGCTTTTGGTATCTTTAAGATAAAAATGTGGTCTTTGAATACTTATTTTTGCTTTGCTTTCCTCACCGTAAGATAGAGAGGGATATTCCTATAGTATGTATTTACTGTTTCTCCCATCATGCTTGGAATGTCTGTAACCTCACCAACAGAGAGAAAATACTGATACTTTCCACAGGTGACCACATCACTGGTACTGCAGGTCTATTGCCCTTTCACGCCACCCTGAGGACAGTTTTACAAAATGTGATGCCAAACCAGAGGTTTTTTGCCCTGTGGAAACACTAAGCCCAATATAACAACACTGACAATAAAAGAACAAAACAGCTGTTTGCACAAGATGGAAAAGTGGTCTTCATTTCATCTCCTCCCCTCTTCAAAGCTGCCCAAGGCCTGAAAAATCAAGTCTGTGCTCCATCTGGCAGAAAAGTGGGATTGTTGGCATTTTCTAAGAACTTTTTAATTTTCTTTACTTCTTGGCCCAATTTTGTAAAACTGTGACCTCTTTTGAAACCTTAAAATAAAGAAGAAAAAAGAACAACTCAAGTTCAAAGAGTAAAGCAGACACTTTTAACGTTTTTTACTGTTTGGTAAAGGTGGTATTTTAAGTTCATTGTCCCTGAAATTATACGATTTTTGTTCCACTCTCTAAATTGTCATCTCAGATTTTGATGCTTCAAATAATACCAACATTACCAGTAAATCAATGGCTCTAGCAAGTGGGAGAATTGACAGAGGGAACAAAAGGTGAGAGGTGGTAGCTACACCCGTAATAAAGTTGTCTCATCAGATAACTTTTTTTGTATTGGGAAAAATATCATAAATTAATCCCTATGCCCAAAGAAAAAGAAAAGCTACAGTTTTACTAAGAAGTTTTTATCTTGTTTGGATGTAGCAGCTTCTTGACATTTATCACTTGAATGTTTTATGGTTCTTTGAAGTAATATTTTTTAGAAGTAAGGTTGAGCTTTACATGGTACCAAGGCCTACATGCTCCAGAAGAGATAATCAGTCATCATATATAAATTATTTGATCCTGAAACATCTTGGTACTTTTTGTCTCTGATATAGGGTGGATAATGTTAACATTATCACTTAGAAACATATGATCATGGGAGATAGTTTTTAGACTATTTACAGCAGCCCATATCACTTCTCTTCCCTGTTTTCCATGGCAATGATAGGTATTATTAGGGAAAAGAAATTCTCTGTTGAGCTGTATACCTAAGAGGAAGAATCAACATGGGGGAGGTAGCTAGAAAGAGTCACCCAAATAACAGCAATGCCAAGGCTTCTACTTGAGAATGTTAATTTTTTTTTTTTTTTTAGTTTTTGACTTCTGAAACCATCATGTAAGTTTAGTCTACAGTTCCAGAAGGTCATGCATTTCCTGTTATTGGAGAGGTATATTTTTTTGCAGCTTAAATATTTACTGTGACTATAGTGTGTACAAAATTAAAAAGCTATACACTGTCTTTCAATCTTTTCATTTTGACTTTATGATTAAAAAACTTTTTAGAAAAGAAGAATTTCTGAGGTGTTATTTTTTATGTATGAATAAAGATGCATCTATATCTGAGAAGTTGTGGCCTTTTATTTTTGCTTTATTTGTTTTAACGCTAATTAGCTTATCTGAAGCAGGCAGTGTTTTTAAAGAGAATGTCCTATAAAGATTTATTCTAGCCAGTCAGATCATTGTGGGAGTAAAGTCTTTCTATCCAACTCACTCACCAGATTGTCATTATCCCAATCTGACTGCCTATATTAACTGTTTGGGACTTCCCTGGCAGTTCAGTGGTTAAGACTCACACTCCCAATGCAAGGGGCATTGGTTTGAGCCCCATTGGGAAAATAATATTCCTCATGCCACATAGCTCAGCCTTAAATAAAAAATTAACCATTTATTTAAAAACATAAGATAGACAATTTGGAAATGCCCTTAAGAGCACCATGGCACAAGAGGGGCTGACACTAGCTTTATAACCAATATTTCATTGTTCTGCATATTGGAAGATTATATGACAGTTTGGGGGTTTTCCTGGGTTGTTGATTATGAGATTCTGTGGGTTTTGCTTTTTGTTTTGAGGGGTTTTTTTGTTTTGTTTTGTTTGCCTTTTCTACTTTTCAAATTCTTTCAGAAAGCATATATTCTTTTATAATCCCAGGGAGAAATGAGCTTTTTGGTTTTAAGCTCTAATTTTGTATTACATAGTGTCAGAAACTGAACTACTAGGGAGACAGGACTCAGGATTTCTCTCTTCCTTAAATGGGGAAGTGACCAAAGGAGATACTTGGCAATACAAAATCTAAGCATTAAATAATAGGAATCTGGACGTAGAGTATCAAGTAAAGAGCCCTTGAATTTTCAGATCATTTCCCTATAGTAAGTATTTCTTTAGGAAATATTGCACTTGTTCATTCAGTAAACATTTGTTAAATACCTGGGTGTATTCTAGGTGCTAAGAACACAGTGGTGAACCAGACATTCGTACTCTTGTCCATGAAAGGAGGTTCTGTGCTGGTCACTACAGAGTGTTCACAGGTACGTAACCCAGACTCCCTGCCTTGTGATAAGTGGGAGAGCAGAAGATGTCATTTAAAAAGTAAGAAAAAAAAAGTGCACATGATGAGGTTGACTTAAAAAAAAAATGCATAACAGAGTTTTGAGTTAAGTTTTATTTGGGGCAATATGAGGACTATAACCCGGGAGACAGTATTTCAGATAGCTCTGAGAAACTGCTCCAATAAGGTTGTGGAAAATGTCAGTAAATATGTGCTTTTGGTGATGGGGGAGTACATGCAACTAAAGCACATATTTTTGCAGCAGGTTTCTGCAAGTCTCATGAAGATTGCTTCCAGTCACGAGCAGCAGTGGAGGATGAAGGAAAAAACCATGAAGTATTTTTGTGCTTTTCTAGATATGAGGAGATACAAGAATT